TTCGAAAGTTCATGCCAGTACTTTGACTTGGGCATGAAAATAGACTGGAAACCAGTGTAGATCACAAAGCATAATATCAAAGCAGCACAATATGTTCGTATTGATCAGACCTTGTTAAGTCTTGCTGCCCTCTTTTGGACCAGCTGAAACTTCCAAACCATTTTCAAAGAGTGCTCCATGTATAATACATTGCAGTAGTCCAGATAAGCAGTTACTAGAGTGTGGAGAACCGTAGCTGTTATCTCTATCTAGTTAATATTTAATTGATTTAATTATATTAATATGCAATATTTGCATATTTTTGAATGTTTTAATTGTGTAAGTTTTAAATGTGAACTGCCTTGAGTCCCAATCACTGGGAATAGGTGGGATAGAAATAAAGATGATGATGGTGATGAGGACAATGACATTGTTGCTTCATTGGCCTAAGCTGATAAAAAGTGTTTCATGTTACCAAGGGCATCAGTAAGTCCAGTGACAATACTGGTTCTAAGAGCAGCCCCAAACTATGAACAGGATCCATTAGGGGAAGTTTGCAGTTGCCTTCAGAATAGATTGAACATCACTCAGCTGAGCAGACGATGCACCCAGTAACAGTACCAGCTAGCAAGGCTTCTGATTAGCTCTAGCAAATCCCAGAAGCTCTGGGCAATAGGTACATTGATAAAGAGAAATACGTTTCCTCAAATATCTTCAAGCATTATCTCCAATTTAGCCTATTTTTTCCCACGTGTTAATGGGGTTGCAGTCTGGACTAGGCCTGCCTTGAATGGGTAAAACCAGTAAAGTATGCCTTTTTTCCCCTCTCGCCATGCTTGGCCTTGGAAGAACCAGTTGTGAGGACATAGCCAGAATACAAACTCATTGTGGCTTTATGTGAATGGAAGTGTTGTGGCTTCCCCCAAAGAATCTTGGGAAGTGTAATGTGGAATTCGTCCTGAGAATTCTGTTACAGATGCCCAATCATTCCCCACAGGCTTTCTTGGAAGTAGGAAAGCAATTTAAGCCTCTGCTGTGTGTGGCTATGCCTCAAGGTGGATGCCTTGTTTGTACTTGCCTTTGAGCAGCCAGCTAGTTAGTGATTCATACTGTATTTCCTCAATAATCCATGATCCAGATGGGAGTGGGTAGATTTGCCATTTCTTGAAATCAAACTTGTGCTACTTCTGGGTTAGGCCATAGAGACAGAGTAGGACAGACACATAATTCATCAAACAAGAGGAAGTTGATCTCCAAAAAGGACAAGAAATGATGCCAATTTGCATAAGACTTGCATATACTAATTTATAGGTATAGATGCAAATTTAGAAATAATTATTCCAATTTACATAGAAATGCCATACACCTTGCCATTGTGTGGAACAGTGTGACCGGATGTCCTGTGTGCCTTGTGAGTTGTCCAGATGGGCAACATCAAGCCTAGCTTTTCTTTCTGATACTTTATGGGTACAAACTGGCTTGGTCAGCCCTTCAAATGGAGGATGACTTCAAAGTAGGGGATGATCCTCTGGCAAACCTTCGAATGGAGGAAGACAGTGGAGCCATAAGTCAAGGGGTCTTGGAAAAGGCTTGGTATGGATTTTGCCTGGTCTGGGGATGGAGCCCAGTCATTCTGGCAAGCCTAGGGGTGGAACTCAGCACAAATGCAGCTCATCACTTCTGCAACATTAAAAATGACTGAAGGGGTAGGAAGTCTGGGATTCTTACCTCTTTGTTTTCTGGCCACTGATGCAAAAGCAAAGAAAAAAATTGACCAAGCTTGTCATATTTGTAGAACAGTTGGGAACACGAATTATGAGGGAGGACACTTGAGCCCTGGCTTTGATCTGGATTCAGGCCCAAAGCCAAGAACAACCTCCTTTCCCCTCCCCATTCCTCTCCCCTCATCTCCACTGCATTCTCCCTGCAATGTCTTAAGAACTTTGTTTCCAGAAAAAAGGAAGCCAATGGGATTACACTCCCTCTAAAGGACAGGATCCACAGCTTGGGGGTGCTCCTCGACTCAGAGCTGTCTTTGGAAGCTCAGGTGACTGAGGTGGCGAGGAGCGCTTTCCTTCAGCTTTGGCTAATCCATCAGCTGTGTCCCTACCTCAAGGATGATTGCCTAGCAACAGTGACACATGCAGTGGTTACTTCCCGATTGGACTTCTGTAACGTGCTCTATGTGGGGCTGCCCTTGAAGACAGTCCGGATACTTCAGATTGTGCAAAATAGAGCTGCCAGGTTGCTGATGGGGACTGGGCGTTACTCTCACACAACCCCAGTCTGGCTCCCCATCAAAGTCCGGGCTCAATTCAAGGTGCTGGTTATCATCTACAAAGCCCTTAATGGCTTGGGACTTGGATACCTAAAGGAATGCCTGCTTCCATATTTGCCCTTCCGCCCCTTGAGATTGGCAGCAGAGGCCCTCCTCTGGGAACCTTCGGTGAAAGATATTAGGAGACTGAGTACCTGGAGGAGGGCTTTCTCTGTGGTGGCGCCCCACCTGTGGAATGTACCCCACAGAGAGGTCTGCCTGGCACTGTTGTTATTTGTTTTCTGGCACCAGGCCAAGACCTTTTTATTTAAACAATATTTTAACAACTTGTAATATTATCTATTGGTTTTAATTCTACAGCCAGGGTGAATCTAGAGTTTATGTATACTATTTTTTATGTTTATTTATTGTATGGAAGCCGTCCCGAGGCTTATGCGAATGGGACGGCATACAAAAACTCCAAATAAATAAATAAACAGAATGCAACTCTGCAGTGTCTTTGGAGAAAAAGCAGGGATGAGGGACAGTTCAAAAAATGCTGGAAAACAATAGCTGAAGAAAGGGGCAACACCGTCACCCATGTCAAAATAGCCTCTAGACATCAGTTGGCGTCCACAGTTTCCATTCCACAGCTTCCCTGGAATGAGAACAAGAAAATGAGAGGCAGAGCTGAGTACCACTTTAGTTCTGATAGCATTTTAGCACAAACCTCCAGATAAGTTCCTACTGCAACTTCAAGATGTTAGAAAACATGGGGAACAAATTGTAACCTTATGACATGGCCTCCTCCATGCTACAGAATGGAGAAGCTAGTGCAAAGTCAGTGGGGGACAACAGAGTGGTGTAGTGCTCAGAGTGCGAACTGGGACTTGGGGAGATCTGGGTTCTGGTGCCCACTTTGGCCATAAGCTGAGTGAGTGACTTTGGGCCAGTCCCTGACTCACAGCCTAACCCATCTCACAAGGCTGTTGTGAGGATGAAAAGGGAAAGGTGGAGGATTATGTAAGCCAGCTGGGTTCCTTGAAGGAGGAAAAAGTAAATGTAAAGATCAAGCAAACAAGTCTTCTAGTAACACCAGCTGAATTCACTTCTATTGGATACCAAAACCAGCTCAGCCCAGTGCCTGAGATATGAGTTTTTTTTTGCTATCTGATGTGGTTCTTATACAGTTTCACTAATTCCTTTTGCCTTTATATCATATCATATATTTAGTATCCACCTGTTTATATTGTATGATCCCCTCCTCAAAGAACATCCATTGCATGGGGTCATATTAAGTTGCTAGCAATGTTGCCTGCGTGGTTAGTGCTGCATTCTCGCTCTCCCACCACTACCTGCCCCAATCATCTGGAAAAGCTCTTACTCTGAAAGATAGCAGACATAACAGTTAAAGAGAAGTCATAGTGTGTTCTTGACCAGCGATGTGAGCCTGAGGCCCTCCTGGCTTTGCAATGTCCATGAGAGTTGTATAGTTTATTCACAAATGCAGTGTCTTGTTTTACCACTATGCTTCAAGTGCACTGCTTGTCTTGATTTGTTAACTGCCTCATGTATGTTTATTCAGGTATCCTTTCACAGAATCACAGAATAGCTGGGTCAGAAGAGGCCAAGAAGGCCATTGAGTGCAATTCCCTGCTTGCACAGGACACCAGTTACACCATCCCAATCAGATATCTGTTCAATGTCTCTAGAGTGGAAGAGCACACAATATCTTTTGGCAGCGGGTTCTATTGTCATACCGCTCCTACTGTCAGGAAATTCTTCCTTGTGTTGAGCCTGTACCTGGTGTACTGTAGTTTAAGTTCATCGTTCCATGTCCTACAATCTGGGATGAGTGGGAAGAGGTCTTTTCCATCTTTGTGACTGCCTTTGAGGACTAGAGTTAGGCTGAAGAGGTTCAGTTCTTTCAGCCTCTTGTCATAAGACTTATTTTCCAGGCTCTTTGTTGACCTCCTCTGAACCCTCTCCAGATTATCAGGCTCCTTTTAAACCTGGGTGCCCAAAACCAAAAGCTGTATTCCAGGTGAGGTCTGACTAATGCATAGTAGAAGGGAATGAGCACTTTTCTATTTCTGGAAGTGATGCCTCTGTTTATGCATCCCAAAACGGTGTTGTCCTTTTTGCGGCTGCATCACACTGCTAGTTCATGTTTAGCTTGTTTTCTACAACTCCAAGGTCCCTTTTATTTTATGTACTGTTGAGCCAAGTGTTCCCCATCTTATATCGATGCAGCTGATTTTTCTTGCCTAGGTGTAGAACTTGGCATTTGTCCCTGTTGAATTTCATCATCATCACCATCATTACTGCAAGCAGTTTTAAATGCAAACAGTTTCAAAAGAGTTGCAAAGCTGCTTAAAGGATTAGATGAAGATGCTGCAGTCAGTGGCTCAAAGAACTAACCAATAGGAGCTGTCCTCAGCCAACATTTTGTTACAGTATGATTGTTTTCTTCTGGGGAATAGCAGGGTTATTTGCTTTGAGGAGAGTTTCAAACCAGCTATAAATCTTATATCTGCCTTTATCCTCAGCACTCACTGAGCCCCAGTGAGGTTTGGAGCACAACTCAGTGTTCATAGTTCAAGCAGGCTTCAGCCAATCTCAGTTTGAAAGGAAGGCCAGACTCCTGTATAATTTCACTTCGTCAGAAGGGTCAGGATGCGGTATGCATGGTTAGAGTCCATATTTCATTGTTTGAAAAAGGCTTTACTGAAATTTCTTTTTAATCCTTTTTTTCCCTTTCCAGATCTCCACAGCCAACTGAAAGGCACTGAAAGCAAACGCTACAGTGAGATTTTCCGGAGTCTAGATGCCCTAGAAATTTCAATTGGAAATGCGTATGTATCCAAGAAAGTTTTCATAGTGCTCCTCACAAGGCCACTAAATGTCTTGATCTTGTGTTTGCAGGTACATGACTGCAGGGAGAAAGTTTAATGTGAGCTGGATGGTGCTTCAGGCTGCGAATGAGCCAGTATAGATTTGTGGCTCCTGGAAAAAGGGCAGTTCAGCCATGAAAATGACTTAAAACGGTCACAACCATAATTGTACTGCCTTTGCCTAGAATATTATTTTTTGGCCAGAATTGCAGGCTGCAAAGCCAGAGGAAAGTCCAGTGGAGCTCTTTGTGCTGCTAGGCAGACTTTCTCTAAGCCAGTGGTAGCGTCATCTGCAGCATTGTGCACACATGCGCTTTGTAAAGGTTGCATGTTGTAAATTGCACTGCGTGCCTCCTGTGCAGCCATATAGAAATTTGGGCCCCTTAAACTCTGTCCACTTCCCATTGAGAAGCAGATCTTGCAGCAATCATCAGTCGCAAGGGTTACCTGTGTTCTTTAGCTTGTTATAACAAAGCTGTCTGTGCCCCTTCAATCTTTCTTCATCTCATATGCCCCTCTGTCCAGTAAGAGACCCATGTCTGTCCTTGTGCTCTCCCTGAAGCCTGCTTCCCAGAGATCAGCTACCTGCTCTGACTGCTCCCCCTCGTATTTTGCCCAGGTACCTCCTCAAGTTTAGTGGGTGCCCCCCAGTACCTGCAGGCTCTAACCAGGATACATTTCTAGCATGCATCATGCATCTGATGGATTTACGAAGCTGTTACAGTTATATCTTAGTCTTGTGCTGATGTACACAGGAGAACCAGGCAGTTTTTCCTCTAGACACCAGCCAAGCTGAGACCTGCTTGGCTGAAAGAATAGAACAGGTTCTATTTACTCAGAAGTAAGGGCCTGGAAACAGAATTGGATTTTGCAAAGGCATGAATGGTATAATGAAATATGGAACATGGTAATTAATGGTAAACTGATGACAGAAATGAAAATTAAAAGAGGGTTAATGAAAACGAAGAAATATAATGAAATCTGGGGAGATTTTGTAAAAGCAGTACTGATAGAAGGCAAAGGCTGTAAACCCAGTCAAGATTATATGAACTTCTGGAGGGGATATGGAAATAATTGAAGTATATTATATATTATTAATTGTTATAGTATGTGAATGGTGGTAGCATTGGTCTCTGGGGTGGTGGGGGCACTTTATTATTTACCTTTTTATTATTGTGTTTTTGTTATGTTATGTTATTATTGTTGTGATGTATTGCAATTATGGGTTTTTTTGTAAAAATAATGGGGGGAGAGTAAAAAAATAAAATAAAAAAAGAAGTAAGGGCCTGTGGTCAGAGCCTGTTGATTCAGAAGTAAGCACCATTGAGTTCAGAAAGTGTGTTTAGGATTGGAGCCTGTATGTCCTAAAGTGTGGGGAGCTGCTTGTGTGAACAGAGAATGGTGACAGAAGGAGCAAGGCTGTTATTTAAATGTATTTAGCAATACATGCATTACACTTTTATGGATTGGTGTGGCCAAGACATTTTGCTTCTTGAGGTAGAAAAATCCTAGCAGTATTATTCTCCCAGCAAGGCAAACATTTAATATGTTAAATAAAGGCAGATTTGCCATTGCGTAATAGCACCCAAAATCCACCACCAGAGGCTGCTGGCTCTTTCCCCATAACTGATGAGACCACAGGATCGTGTTCAGTCCTAATGGCCAATATTTATTCTGCCTTTAATGGAATTTTCCCAACTGGTTGTTTCTCATTTGCAGGGCAGTTGATTTGCTCAATGATGACGCTAATGACAACGGCATTGGAGTCTCAGATTCAGAGCCTGAAAAACTACAGGTATGATCAAAAGTGATTGGGATGAAAAAACCATTAGCAGGGCTGCCTTGCTAAAAACATTTTTACCCCATCTGAACAGAAGTAGTTGTGGCATCCCTTCCTTTGGATGGACCATTCTCCCACAAGATCTAATCCAGGAGCAATAACAAGCTATTCTGTCTGCACATAATACATGCTGGGGATGTGAGGTGGGGGAATAGCATTGCTGCAGGGAAATATGCACGGCACTGTTTCCCCCCAGCCCTTAACCCTGGCTGGATGTGCAATGTGGCATGGTACTCAGCTTTCCAAGAACTGTAATGCAAAAGACAAAGCTGAGGTTCTGCTCTAGTGGGGCAATGAGAGCGGACAAAAATCTTGCTGCTCTTTGCAATGTCAGGACAAAGGAAAAAGCCTTGCATGAGCAGTCTGGCACGACTTTTGCACAGCAGAGGGGAGCAAATTAATTCTTGGAATTAATACCAAAGAATTAATACTGAAAATAAAGATAACAAAATGGTGCAGGCAAGATGAGAAGTGCATTGTTTATGACTGATGGTAGCCCAGGGAATATCCAGTAGCTGATGGGATACAAACTGCGTTTCATATATTGTATTTTATGTAGTGTTGTAAACTGCTTCAGCAATTGGGAGTATGGAAGTAAAATCACTGTGGTCGTCATTATTGGTACAGGGAAAAATGCTTGCATTTCCTGAAAGCTCAACATTCTATGCTTTGTGCACAAAGAAGGTATGATATCCCAGCAGCATAAGCTAAAAATGAAAGGCTGCATTTGATTTTTGATATTTAACAACAAATGTATTATTTGTTGTTATGTAAATAAGCTTAGGTTTCTGCTTTCACTGATGAGGGGATCTAATGTTTCCTCTTCTAGGTTACCTAACTAGTGGTTAGTATTATATCCATACTGAACAAATTGTGATTAGCCTTAACTGTAGGGGTGCGGAAACTCAAGCCAGGGTTGAAATCCTGGGTTCACCAGGGTTCACCTAGGGTTCACCAGATGGCCATGGCATCTGTCCCTGGCTTCTCCAACAGCCAGTTATTTCTGGGTTTCCCAATATTTTGCAGTTTTTCTCCCTGTTCTAAAAGGTTGGAATGCCCTTCTGGAGACTCAGTTACTGGCAATAAGAGCTTTGAGTTAGAATACCCTTCTCTGACATTGAATCTGGCCCTCAGGCTCAAAAAAGTTATTTGGTGCCTGTTCCTAAATCTAAGAGATATTTTAAGAAACAAATATGCATCTCTTCTGCTTTCTGTCCAGTATGAACGACATTTACAGATTGCACGAAGAGTGAGAGATTTGCTTAAAATACCTTAGGAGAGCCTTTTTTTATGTCTCAGCTATGGTGGACACACAACTCTTGAAAACAAGAGAAAGGGCCTTCTTGGTTGCTGCACCTAAATTGTGGCATTCTTTGGCCCAGTAAATTAAGTTGGCACCCTCTCTTATGGTGTTCCACCACATGGTAAAAACCTTGTTGAGGCAGCTGTTCATTTATCAGATGGATGCATTTTATATGCTACAGCTGTCCTTTTATTTGATTGCTTTTTCCTCTTTGTAAGTATATCATACTATTGATTTCAATTGCTTTTAGCCACCCTGAGTAGTGGGTAAGCACCGGAATGGCAGATAAAATAAAAAAAATCAATTAACACATTTGTTCATGTCCTGCATGAGATGTTTTCTGAGACTGGACAGCAGAACAACCTGGTTACCTTCTTTGTTTCACCTTCAGGCACTTACCTTTATCCCTTCCCCAGTTCCTGGATCAGAAACATATTTTTGAGAGGAAAAGTGTACATCAATCTTGAGATGCATGAATGGGGTAGTTGTGCTAAACTTTAAATGGCTGAGGGAGGTTGCCGAACCTTTTTTAGGGACATTTGCCCATCTCCAAAAACTTACATCCTCCTCCTCTCGCATTTCATTATTTTGCAGATATATGAAAATTTCAGCAAGTGTGATATTGATGTGGAGGCAGGAGATCCAGCAAACATGTCAGGTAGCTCCAATGGAGGTCAAATGAAATGGCCAGTATGGATCTTGGTTTGTGCTGTTCTCAGTTTTCCGCTATTGCACTTGGACGGAGAAAATGGGCAGAGAAAAGGAATGCTGTTTTTTCCCCCTCCCCCCACCCTTCCCCACCCAATTCACAGTTCTACATTGTCCAAAGAACCTGACCAGCAGGAGATTTGGGGCAGACAAAATGCAAAAGTAACTGGTGTGGAATTCTCTGTCGGAAGATGCAGTGATGATAGGCATGAGCTTAGATGGCTTTAAAAGGAAATTAGCTGACTGTGTGGAACATAAAACTCTTGAGTACCAGTTACAAGGGAGAAAAGACAGTAGGTGACTGTTTCATAAATGGTATTTGGGCATCCTGAAGGCATCTAGTGAGCTTCTGGGGGACCCAAGTTGCTACACTGAATGGACCTTTGGCCTGATCCAATATTCCCATTATCAGGTGAGCAATGAGACTTTCAGTGAAAACATCAGAGTAGGCTGTTTCCCAGAGCTGATGCACAAATCTCAATAAAAATCTTTTATTGCAGTAATGCCACTAATTAGCCATAAACCTTTATAGTCCCAATAAAGATCCACAGTAAAGATTATAATGTAATTCCTTGACAAGTATCCCTTCGTGAGCATCATGACAAATCAGCCCCGGCTTCAGCATGCAAAATAAATCCAAATAAGTTCACAGTTCCAGGTTGCCAGTGAATTGCTTTCAACAAAGCTGGTTGCTCTGGCTCAGACATAGGTGAGTGGCAACTAAAGATCATTTTTGGATATTCGATCTTGATAGGGACACCTGATTCTCAGGTGGTTGCTGCATCTCCAGGTGCCTTTGAAACACCCTCCTTCTTGATGATGCACCCAAAGAAGCACCTCTGAAACACCCTCTCCACAGAGACCTCTTCCTGCTCCCCTGCTTCCATGGAAGAGCTCTCCAACTGAGAAGCAGGGGTCTCTGCCCAGGTGAAGTCCCCTGGGAGATAGCCCTCAATGGCGTCCTGAATGCCATTCTCTCCTGCACCTCACTTGAACAGAGTAGGCTAGTGTAAGGGGTGTAGGGCAGGCCATGTGGAAGGCGGAGCCCTGCCATCCAATAGAGGAGAAGGTGCATGGGATTGCCCTCGCCCTCACCACCCACCATTGGCATCTGAGGCAAGTACCTCACTTTACCTAATGGTAGGGATGGCCTTGGATATACAAGTGCCAATCATCAGGCATGTGACATGTTTCATGCAGGAGGGGACCCCAGCCCCTCTGGAAGGTCAAAGCCTCCCAGGAGAGAAGAGGAAGACTGGTAGTTTTGAAGGGTTACACTTTACAGTTAGGAAGATAGGCTGAAGGACCAGCTTATGGGGGTAGAGAGGCAAAATTGTATCCTGGAGAGGCAAGCTGGTGTCAATTCTTGAAAGGCTTGGGGCATGTGTGAGAAGAGAAGAAACTACAGGGACTACCAAGACTGAGGATTTGGTGACAGTTTGCTGGATTAGGGTGGGCTAAGCAGAAACAGGCAGGGGAAGGGCACAGAGTGGAGCCCATGAGCTGTGGATGAGAGCATCACTGACAAAGTCTGTTAAAAGAAAGGAAAATTTACAAAGATTGAAAAGGGCAATGGGTGTAGAGCAAGCCAAAAAGCTGGTAATAATACATGGGGCCCAAGGAGACTAATATTTTTCCAAAGTGATACAGTGACTCAATGGCTAGGACTCCAGCCCATCGCCTGCAGGGTTCATGGTTCAAGCCTGATTGTGGAGACTTGTTCACCTGCCTAATAAGAGGTTCTTATGGTGCTGATGGAACAGTCTTGGATAGTAAGGCTGACTTCATCACCAGATATTTACTCAAACCAATCTGTTCCTAATGTTCTTAGTTGAAGAGGCTGATGAGATGTTGATCAAGTGTGATGGCGGTGTCGAAGCAGCCCTGGAATATGCCAAGATGTGGTGTAAATATGTCAAGGAGCTGTTGATCTGGGTAGACAAACGCCTTACTTATGGTGAGGTTCACTTCTTACTATACCATTTTTTAACCAGACCAACCAATCCACCAAACTCTCCATTCCCCTATATATATCCACCTTTACATTAACAGTCTCCTGTGCAATATATTTTCCAGATGGTAGCCACTTTAGTCCATTACAACAAAACAACAAAGAGTCCTCTGGTACCTTCAGGACTAACAAATTAATAGAAACACAGAGTGAGTCAGAAGGGGTCTCCCGGGCCATCTAGTCTGACCTCCAGCACCAGTCGGCTCCGCTCACGACATGCCCACCATGTGGACGTCCAGCCTATCCTTGAACACCCGCACCAATGGGGCCTCAACGACCTCTCCTGGAAGCCCATTCCACACCCTCGGGGTCCTGACTGTCAGGAAGTGCTTCCTGGCATCCAAATGGAACCTTGGTTCCCGGAGCTTTGCTCCGTTGGAGCATGTCCTGCCTTCCTCTGCAAGGGAGAACAGGTCTCTACCCACCACCGTGTGACATCCCCTCACATACCTGTATGTTGCCAACATATCCCCTCTGAGTCTCCTCTTCTCCAGGCTGAAGAGACCCAGTTCCCTCAGTCTCGCCTCATATAGCATCCCCTGCAACCCGGCCACCAACCTTGTGGCCCTACACTGCACTGACTCCAACCTGGCTATATCCTTTCTGTAATGAGGGGCCCAAAACTGAGCACAATACTCCAGTTGCGGGCACACCAGAGTCATATAAAAGTAAAGGTAAAGGTTTCCCCTTGACATTAAGTCCAGTCATGCCTGACTCTAGGGGGCGGTGCTCATCTCCATTTCCTAGCTGAGGGAGCCAGCGTTTGTCCGGAGACAGTCTCCGTGGTCATGTGGCCGGCATGACTAAACACCAAAGTGCATGGAACGCTGTTACCTGCCCACCGAAGTGGTACCTTTTTATCTACTTGCATTTGCATGCTTTCGAACTGCAAGGTTGGCAGGAGCTGGGACAGAGCAACAGGAACTCACCCCGTTGTGCAGATTCGAACCAGCGACATTTCGATCTACCAGCCCAGCAGCACAGCAGTTTAAACCATTGCGCCACCTGCAGTCCCTCCAGAGTTGTATAGAGTGGTAGTAATACCTCTCTTGATCTAGAAGCCACACTTCTGGCTATGCAACCAACGGTGGCATTTGCCCTCTTGAACACCGCATCACACTGCTGACTCATGTTTAGCCTGCAGTCAACCAGTACCCCGGGGTCCCTTTCACAAGTGTTGCTCTCCAGCCACTTGTCCCCTAACCTGTACTTATGATAGCTATTCCTATGCCACAAGTGCAAGACCTTGCACTTATCCACATTGAACGCCATCCTGTTGTCTCCTGCCCACTTCCATAGTCTGTCCAGATCTTTTGGATCTGGAGTACCTGCGCCTCAGTTGTGGCCACTGCTCCAGTTTTAGTGTTGTCTGCAAATTTGATCAGCAGTCTGTTCACCCCTTCTTCCATGTCATTTATGAAAAGATTAAACAGGATTGGCCCCAGGACAGAGCCCTGGGGGACCCCGCTTGTCACAGGCCGCCATCCTGATGATTCCCCACTAATGGTTACCCTCTGCTTTCAGTCAGTCAACCATGCCCTAATCCATCGGACAGTTCTTTGGTGTATCCCAAAACACCTCAGTTTCTCCACCAGGATATCATGGGGCACTTTGTCAAAGGCCTTGCTGAAATCCAGGTGTACCACATCCACTGCATCCCCTCCATCTAGTCATCTCAAAACCTCGTCATAGAATTCCACAAGGTTTGTCTGGCAGGACCTGTTTTTGAGGAAGCCGTGTTGTGTGGCTGTCAGCCTCCCTTCGCTATCTAGCATCACTGGATCTCTCTCTGTTATGAGCCTTTCCATTGTTTTTCCTACAATGGATGTAAGGCTAACAGGTCTATAATTCCCTATGTCCCTTCTACTATCCTTTTTGAGAATTGGGACCACAGATGCCACCCTTCAGTCCTCTGGAACTTCATCTGTTCTCCACGAGGCATCAAAAATGGAGGCCAGAGGGCGTGAGAGAACCCCTGTCAACTCTCTAAGTACTCTCGGGTGTAACCCGTCAGGGCCTGGTGCCTTTGTAATGTCCAATGCCCTGAGGAGCCCCTCGACTTCAAGGGGGGGTGACTCTAATCTGTGCCCCTAAGCCCCCAGCCTCATCTAATCTCCTATGCGGATATCCCCCATCCTGCTTTGGGGAGAACACAGAGGCAAAATAGTCATTTAGCATCTGTGCCTGTTCCCTCATATCAGTCAGTGGATCTCCTTCTTAATTTAGTGGTCCCACCACTTGTCTCCCCTTCCTCTTCCTATTTACATGCTGAAAGAAGCCCTTTTTGTTGCTCTTGATGTTCTTGGCAAGTCTCAGCTCATAATCAGCCTTAGCCTTGTGAAGAATCCTTCTGCAACGGGCCTCCTCCTCCCGGTATACCCTTTTGTCTATTTGCCCCAGTACCCATTTCCTATGGAGGTTCCTCTTTCATCTAATCCCTTTAACCACCTCCTTTCGCGTCCATGGCAGCACTCTCCTCCGTCTCCCCACCTTACTGACTAGAGGAATCGTCAAGGCTTGCGCCTCCAAAACCTCCATTTTGAGTGCCATCCACCCCTCCTCAACTTGCTTACCTTCCAGTAACCTATCCCAGGAGACTTTCCCCAGTCTGGCCTTCAGTTGGCCAAAGTTGGCCCTCTTGAAGTCCCAGCTTCTAGTGCTCAACCTGCTGCACGTCCCCAGTCCCCTGATCTCAAAGCAAAGGATGGAGTGATCACTCGCTCCCCTAATCTGTACTTCATTTATCAGCTCCTCCCTATTGGTCAAGACCAAGTCAAGGATGTTCCCCCCCTCGTTGCTTCTTGGACCCTGTGTGTGAAAAATCCTCCCTCTATAGCTTCTAGGAAGTGACGTGACCTGGCTGTCACCGCCGAGTGAGTCTCCCAGGTAATATCTGGGAGATCTCCCATAATTACTGTGTCTCTCCCCCGAGATATCCTTAGAATCTGGCCTGTCAGGACATCATCCAGGGTCTCAAGTTGACCTGGAGTGCGATAACATACCCCCACTGTCAGGTCTCTTTCCCTGTCAAAGCCCCTAAGTTTCACCTAGACTGCCTCTACCGAATCCCCATCTGTGCTGCATTCTATCTCACTGCATCCTATCCCTTCCCTGATGTATAAAGCCATACCCCCACCTCTCTTTCCCTTCCTGTCCTTTCTAAAAACGTGATACCCTTCTATGTTCACATTCCAGCCTTGCCTTTCATCCCTCCAAGTTTCTGTGATTCCCACCAGGTAATACCCTCCTATTCCCAGGAGAGCTTCAAGCTCTTCCTGCTTATTACCCATGCTCCTAGCATTGGTGTACATGCACCTCAACTCCTTCCCACCACTTTCTTTGCTTGGAGTTCCCAGCCTCCTCCTTCCTCCCATCCTCCCTGATACCTGGCCCCTCTCTGTAGGAGTCCTGTCAGTCCCTGCAGTACCTCTAAAACCCTGCTTCCAGAGCCCTGATCCTCCCCCCACACTTGTCCAGTGCAGACACGTTTCTGGGGGGCCTGAACCCACCCCGCCGGCTCAGTTTAAAATCTTCCGGACGAAGCTCACTAGAGCATCTTGAAAGGACCTTTTCCCCATCCTCTTGAGGTGTAACCCATCCCTTGCCAGAAGTCCATTGGCAAGAAACCGAGTGCCGTGGTTGAGGAACGTGAAGCGTTCTTTCTGGCACCACACCCTAAGCCAATCGTTCACCTCAGAGACCCTCCTGTCCCTTCCTGGCCCAAATCCCCGAACCGGTAAGATTGATGAGAAGGCTGCTTGGGCCTTTAGTTCCCTGAGTTTCTTCCCCAAGGCCTCGAAGTCCCTGGTGATCCTGACCACACCCTGCCTGGCCACGTTGTTTGTGCCCACATGGATCACCAGGAGCGGCTGGTGACCCCCGGAACGAACAAGATGCTCCACTCTGTCCTTCACATGCTGGATGTGTGTGCCCGGCAGGCAGCAAACCTCCCTTGTCTCCAGGTTGGGGTGGCACACTGCTGCCTCAGTGTCTCTCAGCAGGGAGTCCCCAACAACAATTACCTGCCACCATGTCTTCCTGGTGGTGGTGGGAGGCTGTGCCCTGGCCCTCGCCTCTCCTGCAGAGGCCCCCTTGCCGCTTGTCATCCCAGACTGGGGGTCCTGCCGGTCCCTCGAGGCTTCATCATTCTGGCATGCGTTTTCATGGACTATAGCTCACTGCGTCAGGTGTGTGGAATATTGTGGAGAGGTTCAGCTTTTTTGTATAGTTCAAATAGTAGGACAAAGCAAGATCAGAAGGAAAGTACAAATGGTAACCATCACTTTATCAATAGTGGTCCCTTACATTACATATTCCATATAGCCTTAAAAAAGTCTTCATAAGCCATCCTGAGGCTAAAATAGCAAAATACTATATCAGAACAAATACACGTTTCTTCATTTAAACCTTGCCACAAGGTGGGAGCATCCTTCCAAAATTTCATTTTTATGGCTAAATATGCTCCTTCTCTTACTATGCATTTTCTTTGGAATCCCAGAGTACTAACCTGTTTCTTGTTTACAGAAGTGGAGGTTGCCAAGAACATCCTGAAAATTACAGAAGCTAGCAAAAGTTTCCTTTTCTCACAGGTAACTTCTCCTAGATGCTCCTTCTATGAGCTTCATTTTGTAATTTGCATGAATAGTTTCAGTGTGAGTTGTTTTTTTGCCTCACCACATCTGACCTGTAGCATCTTTGCTGGTCTCTCCAAGATGGAACTTGAAGCAAAATCTGTGCATGTGTGTGTGTTTTCATGCCTGGGATTCGCACTGTGTGTTCAGACACCATTTTTCTGGTACATGGAAGAATGAATCCATCCACCACCACATGCAGAGGCAACCATTCCAGGGTATCATTTTCAGTGGTTGTTTCTGGTGCAATATTCTCATAGGCTGACTTAAGGAAAGGACCCAGTTCTTGAAAGTGCCCCTCTGTACTTCCCCTGCAAAATTAACACTTATCAGCCGGGGGGGGGGGGGACGGGGACGACACCCATGTGACCAAAACATGGGATGGAATCTTTTAAATACTATTTTTATAAAATCCATGCTAGTAGTCCTAGTACAGCTATGTCTGAAACCACCTCATATTTTAAGCAATTTGTTCTTAAGGGTTTGTTTATGCCATTGTGGGTGGAAAGTGGAGTTGGTTTCAAAATTCATTGACTAAGGCAGCTGTAGACTGAGGTATATCCATAGTCCCTGGTACTCTTCAGATGGGCCTTGAGGCCCAGTGAAAACAGTAGAAGAGGATGCTGATCCACAGGAAGTTTCTTGGCAGGTTTCAGCCCACTGGAATGAGATATTACTTTTGTCCGTGTTAGTTTCCAAAGAACTTAGATGGATATTAATTTCATGGCAGTTTCACTTCTGACATGTTGACTGGAATGGGAGATGCAACCAGCAATACTCTGTATGTTGTACCAGTGTGCCATAAGGGTAGGTCCCATCACAGTTCCTGGGATGTGGTGATGACCCTGATGTGCAAGTCTCCTGGGTCCACTTTATGGATGCTCCTTCTATGGGTCTAAAAGTCACTCCTGTGTGGTAGGAGCTCGTTCTGCCTGCTGTAATGTTCATAAGCAACTCACTTTGTCCCTTGGAAAGTTTCTAACACTAACCCAGTGGCCTGCAGGAATTTGGGGATTTTACTCATGATATGGGTGAGTTGTCTGCATGAGCTACAGCAACTGCACTGAGCAGCCAAATAAAACTAGCAACCACAGGTCACACATGGGATATGAAGTGCATTGCTGTTTCTGACGGAGTTTGAGTATCATACCTAGAAACTCAGATTTGAATCCAAATGTCCTTATTCTACTTGGCATCCCAATCCAGCCAGCCAAGGTTCCGCAGATGCTATGCTCCTTCCTTTCTCTCCTGACCGCCAAACATTTGGTAATTTCCCAGCTTTTGCATCTTTCTAAGTTGAAATGCCTCTCGTGAAATCTTGAAATTTCTCTCAAAATGCCTTTTGAAAGGCTTGGGAACAGCTTTAAACAAAGATATACAGGTATTTCCGCCCCTCCTCTTTCTTTGGCTCTCCCACCACTGGAAGACACTCTCTAAGAACTTCTCCCAGATTGTATTCAGGCCTTGAATTCTTGGGAAAGTTCTAACACCCCATTTTATTTTTTATTTATTTGGAATTTTTATATGCCGTCCCATTCACATGAGCCTCGGGACGGCTTCCAATACAATAAATAAACAAAGTGTATAAATAGTACATATAAAATCCAGATTCACCCTGGCTGTAGAATTAAAACCAATAAATAATATTAACAGTTATTAAAATATTGTTTAAATAAAAAGTCTTGGCCTGGCACCAAAAAACAAATAACGACAGTGCCAGGCGGACCTCTCTGGGGAGTGCATTCCATAGGTGGGGTGCCACCGCAGAGAAAGCCCTCCTCCAGGTACTCAGTCTCCTAATGTCTTTCACAGAGGGTTCCTGGAGGAGGGCCTCTGCCGCCAATCTCAAGGGGCGGGAGGGCAAATATGGACAAGATAATGCTGGGTCTTGTTTTCTTTCTTTTCAGAACTACATGCCCCTCCAGACTCTGTACACCAAAGTCATGGAGCATCACATAAATGTGGGGAACCTAGCTTCTAAGACAGCCGGCGTTTTGCATCGGAAACAATACTACGAGGTTCAGTGTTTTCTGGCTTGGATACAACACTGCTATGCAACAGCTATGCAAAGGCAGATACTAAAATAGGTTATGGGTCATGGAATCATAGGAGAGGACATACCTGACTGGCCAGCATTGAGCCAGGACAGGCTAGTAACATCCCCCAAGCATTACCTATGAAATGGGAGCCAATCAAATGGCTGGGAATTGAGAAATCCCTTGCCAGAGTTCCCAGCTGAACTCCTAGGTAGTCTAGCCTCCCAGGTAAGTGTGGGAACTATCTGAATTTGAATGTATCAATTAGCACTTGCAGCAGGACTTTCAAACCAATGGATATCTGTGATTGCTACCTGGTCAGCAAAGGGGACTCCATCATGTGGTCTGGGTCAATTGATCCTTTGCTTGCAGTCAACTGTTTTCAAGAATAAAATACAGTTTTGCTCCACTCACTCTTGTCATGCTTAATTGGGTGAAGAACATCTAGTCCAGACCCTTTGTGTCCTTCAAAAGAATCACAGAATCATAGAACTGTAGAGTTGGAAGGGGCCAGAGGGCCATTGGGCCCAGCCCCCTGCTCAGTTTGGGACCCCCAAGTTAAATAATCCCTCTCAGATGGCTGTCCAGTCGCATCTTGAATGCTTCTAGTATGGGAGAACCCACAATCTCTCTGGGTAATTGGTTCCACTGTTGTACTGCTCTAAGAGTCAGGAAATTTTTCCTTATCTCTAGCCAGAATCTGGCTTCCTGTAACTTGAGTGTGTTATTCCATGTCCTGTACTCTGGGATGATCGAGAAGAGATCCTGTCTTTGTGTGACAACCATTCAAGTACTTGTAGAGTGCTATCATGTCCCCACTCAGACTTCTTTTCTCAAGGCTAAACATGCCCAGTTCTTTCAATCTCTCCTCATAAGGCTTTTCCCCAGTCCCCAGATCATCCTTGTTACCTTCCTCTGACCCCTTTCCAGCTTGTCTGCACCTTTCTTAAACTGGGGTGCCCAGAACTGGACACAGGTCTCCTCAACTAGCTGGCCAGAGTGCTAGGTCTGAAATGATTGTTGCTAGAACATCTCATGAAGCTTTGGTCTTTCCATTTGAAGAGTGGGATGGAGAATGGGAAAGAGGAAAGGATACATGCCACATTTTTATTCTGTAGTTTTGTCCTCAACCCCCCGTGATGCCTCAGTGATGTTATGGTTTTATGAGTGCTTAAGATCTCACTCCTCTCATCCCTGTTCTTTTCCCCCCAGCCACTTTGGGCCAAGAAGAATGAAATTGAGAAATGGAGGAAGGAATTCAAGGATCAGTGGCAGAAAGAACAAAAAAGAATGGTAAGAGCAAAGTTAAGATAAGGATGAAGCTACAATCACTTTGGGTCTCTTGCCTGTTGTCTGTGGGCCACCTGTCTTAAGATCCCATAAGGCAAAATGTGTCAGTGGATTCCTGGGGAATACACAATGAAACTGATAGAGAAGAAGGTTATCAGGGAAGGGAAGGGCTAGGGATGTATGAGGTACACATTATATGACCAAAAACAGATTCACCAGTGCCTTCAGGTAAAAAGAACATTCTTCTGTCCTCTTGTCCCAAATATTGCAGCCACTGGTATACTGATTTTCAGGAAAGACCCTTCCCTGAATCGTTGGTATTGCTTGAAAGCTCGAAACTCAGTCGCTCTAGCCCTTTTACTTAAAAAGAGAAAAATGCACACAGCAGGATTCTGTCTAATACTGCCTGCTTCTTCCCTCCTGTGCTCTGGCTGGTGTATGTAGAGACAACAGGATGATTCATGCAGTGATTTAAAGTGCTATGTGCTGTTCCTTTAAATGTTGTTACATTTCAGAAGGGCAATGGGGGTAAAGGAGGGGGATGAGTGAGTGAGGTGATTGGTTGGTGACTGAGCATGTGTGGGTGGGGCTTGGAAGTGTAATTGGAGAGAGAGAAGGAAGAAAGCTGTCAGTTAATTGGCAGTTAACTTTCACAGTGGTCTGTCAGCAGTTGCAGTCAGTTGGAATCAGTCATTAGTCTGAGGAGACAGCCTCTTCATTAGAGTTTCAAAGAGTGCTGTGAAAAGCATTTAGTATTTATATGGACAAAGGGAAGGAAGTAGAATAGTTGGGAGACATATTTGTGCCTAGGGAGAGTCAGAACTGAATATTGTCTAGTATTATAAGGCAGTATATAGAAACTTGAGTGTAGAAGGAAAAGACTGAACTGAGATAAATAGATTAAAGTCTGGTCAAAGAATATTCAGACATGAAAGAAGGATCTGAGAATAAGGAATGATTGTGAAGGGTAACAGTGGGATACCTCAGTTAGAAGTTGTTGTTATATGTTGTTTTATTCATTAAGGAAATAAGTTACTGAACATCTTGAAACCTATATGCTTCATGTACAAATAAAGTTTTATTTTGTTTGTTGTCGTCTCAGAGTCATAGGCAGTTTGAATACCAGAATCATCCTGTTGCCAATTGCAGCACCCCAAAACACCCCAAAAGTAATTGGTCAAAGAAAAGCCCTAAAAGTAGTTGGCCAGAGGAAGTCCACATAGTAAAAACACCACAGTTATACTGTCCCTGAAGGGAGGGTGGATAAGAACAAAATGAACTTTGTGTAACCCACAGCTAACATGCTAGCCTGACCTTGAATACGGTAATCAAAGGGAAACTGGTTATAGCCACCATGAAAGTTGCAAATGTGCAGGGAGTAAGAACATGGCAAGCCTGTGTGAATTTTGAGCAGATAAGAAATAGACATGGGAAATGCCTGGTCCTTGACAGAAGTAAAGACTCTTTGAAGCTAACAGCAGTGGGGGTGTTGCTACATTGATGTATTGATGTATGAGAAGTGTATTAGGTGACCTAATTGCTTACCTAGAGTATAAAATGCATGTACCGGGGTGCAACTTTCAAGACACTGCTTGACTGAATGTCCCCTTTTGTCTCCCTTGATTCTATAGTGCACTAGAATAAAGCTGGTTTTGGCTCTAAGTCTCATCTCAGGCTCCTTTTGACTTGGGTCTGGGGTCCACCCGGGTTTGCCCTAGCTGTTGACTGGCTGAGTTCAGTAACAATCCTCAGGACCACATAGTCCAACAAAGGAGCCTTATAGCTTGGACACAATACTGTGGAAGAAATTAATTAATATGATTGGAATTAAATTCCTGATGGCAGCATTACATACTGTTGGGAAAATCCAAATAAATCTTTATAGAGAAAGGTTGCTTACAGGTGCCTTTGTGATATAAAAGCAAACCTGCAGTGTCCCTGCTCCTCTTGCCCAGAAAGAACCAGAATTCCAAGCCAGGTTCCTTTGTTTCCCTGAAGCTTTATTAATCATCTGTTTCTTTAAGAGACTGAAACTTTTAGTTGCAAAGTTAAGCTTGTTACATTGTTAGCATTTCACTGCAATGAGGCTTTTGTTCTGTTAATGTGCTGAGCTGCAGCTAACTGCCCCGACTAGTTTTCCTGCGTGTCAGTGTTCTGTTGCTCAGTTGTAAAGTCATGTCTGACCCACCATGACCCCATGGACAACATTTCTCCAGGCTCTCCTGTTTTCGTATCCTACGGAGTCTACCCAAGCCCACCCCCACTGCCCCAGTGACCCCATCTAGCCACCTCAACCTCTGCCATCCCCTTCTCCTTTTGCTGTCAATCGTTCCCAGCATCAGGGTCTTCTCCAGTGAGTCCTTCCTTCTCATTAGTTAGCCAAAGTATTTGAGCTTCATGTCAATACCCACACCCAAATCCTGTAATGATTCATGTATCTTCCTGATTGTCATATCAATATCCTGTAATCATTGATATTTGCTGTACAATTGTCTCATGCACCTCTGCAGATCTCTCACTTCATTTGTCTATGAGTACATTATGTGCCCATTATTTTCTCATCCTCTGCCCTGTATGTGTGACTAGAAGCCTATAAAATCCTCTGTTTATGTTCTAAAAACTTGTAGTTGGTGGGCATACCTCTACTAGACAGCACTGTTGTAGGTTTGTACTCTGCAGAGGTGTTTACCTAGGTGTTCTCACCGATAAAAGAGCTGAGGTTCGAGGTGAAGGTGTCCCCCTGTAGATCTGAGCATACATTCCCACGACTGCTCTTCCAGGAGTCCCTGACAATACACAGAGAAAGAAAAGGAAATATAAAGAAATTAAAGACACAACATAGCTACACAAATTCTAGGAGAGTACTCATGACAATTCACTTTGAACAGGAAGAGAAACTGCTTCTGCCTAGAATCATCCCAAATACATGATAAAGTTTTAAAAGCAAAACTCGGAAAACAGAACTATTCAGAGCTGAAGCTAAGCAGGTTTGTCATGCTAACACCTTCTTCAATTGCAGAATGATTCTTTGTCTTCCATGCGGAAGTCCCGCCTCCATTACCTCCAGCGCTGTGAGGACTTAGAGAAAGCCAAAGTGTTAAGTGCCAAGGCAGAAGAAGAGTTCCAGGCTGCAGCAGGCAGCGGCAACAAGCAACTGGAGAAACGGCGGCGTTATCGAGAGGAAGCCCAGTTAAAGGTATCGATCTCATGTCCTAAAGTAATTCAGAACTCTGTCATTTATGATCTGTGGTGCAAACTTTGGAATTCAGGTTCTTCCAGAGGTACATAAATGCATGGAAATCCAGCAGGGACAACGACAGATTTTTGTGAGTCTTCGGGCAACTTGGCACACAAAGTTATCTGAGTATAGTGGATATAGCTCTAAGAGAGCAAAAGCATGTACGCTAGAAGGACACTAAAAAGAACTTGTTGTGTCATTGAAGGAGATTCTTTGATGCCTTCACACTGGAGTTGGCAATATTAGACCAGTCCGGCTCCTGCATTAAGTGAGACCCACAATGATCTGATTGGCATGCCATGACAATCTGCCATGGGTAAGCAACCATGGTGGATTTTTGTGTCAGCAAAATCCAGCATGTTGTCTGCAGTGAGGCTTCTCCTTCCACAAATAGGACATCCTGAGAACTCATGGTTTATTCTAGAGGTTGTTTGAGCCATGGCAGGTCATTGTGTTGGGAGGACTGTTGCTCATTCCTCAACATCTAAAAGAAATCAGAGCGTGAAAATGTGCATTTGGGTTCATATAATTTCCACTGGCTCCTGAAAGCTGTGCTTTTTGTTTCTCTTTGTGCAAGTGGGCACTTAATGGCTACCCAATACAAGGCAAAACTGTATCTAGTTCATTTGCCAGAAATCAAGCACCAAGCTTTTGATGGAAAAGTACCAGTAAAGGACAAAAAAATGGGGAAAGGAGGTGCACCCTAGAACATTGAGTACATTATCACTTTCTTGGCAGTCTTCACAATCTCAGTGTTCTCCACCTTTTCAACATTTCCCTGAGTGTGCAGCTACTCCAGAAAGGGAAGATCTCAACTTCTCCTTTTCTGCAGCTCCTTTTCAGAGCACATACTGCTGCTGTTACTGAGGTTCTCCCCCACTTCTAAAATAGCCACAGATAATTATGCAAATTTAATGGCTGGGAAGTAAATAGAGGAGAGATGTGTGCACTTGCAGTAACGCAGTAGCTGATGCAAGTGTGTACATTTCTACTTTGTTTATTTTCCAACCATTAAATTTGCACACATTTCTCCTCCATTTACCTCATAGCTATTCCATTTGTGTATACCGCATACTGTTTATTTTTTGAACTATTAGAGAACCACAGTACTCACAGTTGTAAGTGCTCTAGAACTGCTAGAGAGAGTTAATATCTCCCCTTTCTGGAGTAGGTGGAGAGTTGTAGAAGTGCTGAAAAGGTTGTAGGCACCAAGGACTGTGACATTAAAAATTGCAAGGATTACATTGCTAAGGGAGCATCTTCTGTTGCCACTTGGTCCCTGACAACTGCATGTAAATTTGCCTAAAGGAAGTCTTCCCTTGTCTTCCCTTGTACAGCAGATAGAGACAAGGAAATTAACCAGACAAAACTACACATACCAGATAAGCGTCCATTTGCAGATGTGAGAAAGAACATTATTTTAAAATCATGCCATTTTAGGGGGCTAAAAAAGGTAAAAGAACAGGGGTAGGTTGTGACCAGAATGGGAAGGAGGAAACAAGATGCATTCTGCCATGAAGACCACTGAGAAATCACCTAGAGAACCAAGGGGGAAGGAGGACAACAAAGCACAGGAAGCATAATCATCTGTTGAGTTCTGTAAACAACCATGTGTTTATTTACAAGGTGGCTTAATGTGATATGTAAACCTGCCCATTGTCACAGTGGGTAGATTGTTTAAAATTTCGGAGTTGAGATTGCTCTGCAGAGGTCATGTACTGTTGTTAGTATTTCCTCCCCACATAGTTCCTGTTCCATCAGAAAATGCACTTCCTCCTAGCACCAAGCAAGTTCAACTTCATGCAATACAAAAGGATACAGGACCACTCTGATCCCTAAATGTCTCTGCTGGGGGTGGGGGAATCACAATTCTGAGCATGGAATAATCAGAGGTGATCTGATGAATATGCATCCATTTTGATTCCACACTGGAAGTATTCCAAAAACGTAGAACCTTGTCATCAAAAAATAGATGAGCTATGTCCCTCTGCCTTCTTTGTTTATTTGAAAGTTGATTCAGTGGGGGCTTGCTTTCCAGGTAAGCTCAAAAGAGAAATAGTGAAGGAAGCTGTCCAGCCTTTGAAAGGGAACTGTGCAGTCTCACACATCAGTCAAGACTGTGAAACCTCTTCCTCCTATGAAGTTTTGTCCATAGATTTCATAATCCCAGTAGCAAAGTGTTCAAAGAAACATGCAGCAGGAGAAGAAGTATGGCGTTGGAATGATACAGATGTGATTAACGAACCTCCGTTATCACGCTGGTAACTGCCTGGTGGTGGGCCATGGGGTTCAATCAGCTCTGTAGGGGCTAAGATAGATTGCTTGGCAAATCCCCCAGATGATGTGGAATGGCAATTCCACATTTAGTGGGAGGAAATCAAGCTTTTCTCAGCCGGGTAGTACCAGAGGGAGAGCTGCCCTCTGCAAATCCTCAACATACTACCTTTTTAAAGTTTTGTTTTAGCTTTTGTGAACACACCGGATCTATTGGAACGTATTTTTGTTTCTTTTTTCTGCAATGATACCCATGGAATAAGCTGCATTTCTTGCTAATTAAAAAGCCCTTCGGATGGAGGGGGAATGAAACCTTCCCCCCCACGGAGTTGAAAAGCGGCGAATTGCATAACAGAGAGAAAGAAAGAACTTTTTGTAAGTAAGGAAAAGATTTATCTTCTTTTATCTCTCCAAGGGCGAATACTTGTGTTGTGGAACTGAGTAATAGAGGATCTTTCTTTTATTCATCTGTGTTGGACTACTGCCAAGAATTGGCAACCATCTTTCTCTTTGTTCCTGGGATCCTTGGACACCTGCCAAGCTTTGCTAATTTACCGCTACTGTGGAAGAAATATGGAAGGCATTTCTGGCAATACAGGCTTCTTTAACAGCTGTGCAGCTATCCCAGCAGGCGATAATAATACGACAGAAGATTGTTCTAGAGCGACTTGATTGTTTTTTAACTGAACAAAAAAGTGGTTTTGATAAATTAGACACTTCTATTAATCAGGCTTTAGATAAGCAACTTGCACCTGAACAGAATATGCAAAATATCCAACAAGCAGAAGGAAAATCTGAAACTGGAAAGAAAATAAGTGCAACTGATCTGCGTGTTATGATGGAGAAGGAGAAGACAGCTTGGCTGCAACTCAAGACACATGATCTATTGCAGACATTACGAAGCAAGCTTCCATGGGATCTGCGTGTCATCTTAGAGAAGGACATTTTAGCTGACCACTTAAAAGAGGTTATGTTTATGTGGCTGCAACTGAAGACTCCAATACAGACATTACGGTGGAATGGGAAAAAAAAACAGAAAGGTCTGGTAGAGGGGTAAAGAAAAAGGAAACATGGCAGGGGTGCAAAGGGAAGATAAGGGAAATTTCTTTCTATTCCAAAAAAAAAGGTGATTTATATAGCTTGATATGCTTACATGTAATGTAGAAAGGCTAAGCTATTATTGCTGGTGAAATAGTAGCAATTTAGCTTAATGAAATCCTGTTTAAAAGGTATTATTGTTAAATGGATATCTTTGACTGTATTTCTAATAAGCTACTGTTATTGATGATATATGTTAGACTGTAAACACCTGGGCTTTTATATGGAGCTAACCATATTTGATTAAATGGTGTTTAAGTGAGATGAAACACTAGTAACTTAGCTTAAAGAAAAATGTTCTAAAAGATATTATAAGTATTATAAGTATTACTCATCATGAAGTAGAATAGTTAAGACAATTGTAGAGATGTTAAATGGATATTTTTGATGTTTACATGTAATTGTGGTAGTGAGAAAGTTGTTTACTATTAGAAAATTGAAAATATTTTGAATTGTCTAGAAATGTTTAGATCAAACTTACCACTGAAGGAGAAAGAGAATATTGCAATTTCATTTAACTTGGAGATGCTTCCCTTTGACATTGCTCAAGAGAAACAGGACTTTGTAGGAAATGATAAGACTGATTTCATGGATGAAGAAGAGGAAGATAGTGACTTCTATCAAATTTGGATTATTATCATTATTATTATTTTATTGGCTGGAGAAACGGGACCTGGTTTTGATCCAACAATGCTTTCAAGTTATTATAAATGGATTCTAGTATGATCATAGAATGTTAAAAGATATGTAGTAGGGGACTGATCCAGTAAATCTGGTGTGTGCAATGATTGTTGTTTGTAGTTTTAGTTTCAAAATCCTAATAAAATTTCTATAAAAAAGAGAAAAAAGGAACATGCTGCTACGGTAGATTTTTGTTGTTGTTGAATGTGAAAATGGAACCCGAACAGAAACTATATGAATGATTTTAGCTTTGTCCTAAAATTATTGTGCACAATAGGTACATATTGTTTTGTGGGGGTGGGGGGCTGCAGAACTGAGATGTTTTTTGGCACCCACACAGTGCCCTTACTCAGACATTCATTTATATATTTATTTAAGATATTTGTATTCTGTCCTTTGCGAGAGCCTCAGGACAGCTTACACAAATAAAATTCCAAAATACATAACAATATAATATTATAAATAACATAAAACATTCCATAATATATCCTCCCTTAATTAATAAAAATAATAAAAATGCAACTGTATACAAATTAGTAGTATAAATAAAATAGTATTAGTTGTTAAAATGAGGGTTAAATAAAAAGACATCCCCACAATGCCACTCTTGCAACTCAGCATTTCTCCAGTCCATCCTACTGTATATTTATTTCACTACATACAGGTTCAGGAATCTGAAATCACCTATAAAGGCTGCGTCTGTGATGCCAACACCCGCCGACAGGGACTGGAGAAAGTCAGGGAGAGAATTGTCTCCCACATCCGTAAACTGGTGTATCAAGGAGATGAGGTGCTGACACGGGTAAGTAGTGATCTGTGGTTATAAATATCCTTGCCATTTTCCTTGCCTCTCTAGCTGCAGGGAGGGGAGCTACAGGAGTGTGGAAACCAAACGCAGCAAGTCCATGCGAGATAACAGGTGTCCATTGTAGTTTTTTCCCCTCATCAAGCTAGATTCAAGGCCATGGTCTAGAATTATAATGCCCTGCTCATAATAGTGATGAGATGGGCATTTTACTGGGCCAATGGGAAGCCAAGCAAGAAGGGGAGGAACCAGAATGTTGGGGTATGTTTGAGAAGAACAGGGAGTGGGAATTGGAAAATGGCAATTGAAGCAATGAGATGCAGAAAGGGGAAGCACATGAATGATTGAACCTCAGAACAAGTCAGGTTGCGCTCTGAGAAACAACAAAAGGCACTAGCTGAGAGGCTTCAGCAGCAGTTGCAGCTTAAGTAATATGGAGATATGGGAGTAGCTTACTGTTGAGAGAATTGATGGTGGTGATAAAGAAAACAGTATGATAGAGTTGCTTCTGTCATAGCTTTTTATATAAAAACAATTAGGGAACTTGTGGCAACTTAAAGACTGCTTATAGCATATAGTCTATTTTTTGAGACCCATGAAATCCTGAATTACTGGGAAACAGAGAGAGAGAGAGAGAGAGAGTTGGAGGGAGCAGATGAATTGTAAACAGGTGAGAGGAGAATAAACCCTGATAGTTGTGAGTGGGAGGGAGGGATCCAACCTGTTCCCGGCCACCTGTCCCCCACTGCTTGAACTAACCAACCCAGGGATGCTTACCATGATGTTCAAATGCAGAACTCTGGATTGCTGGGGAAGAATTATGACTCTGAATTGTATGTAACTCTCCCCTAGCAATTGGGAGCTCCTCATTCAGACCTCACACAACCCAGCAATTGGGGAGTGGGTTGTTTCTGCATTGTTTAGCTTCACCTAGCTACAGTGGGAACAATCAGGTGGCAAAAACAAGCACTCACACTTGTTCCTGCTTCTTTAAAACAAAAAAATGGAAAGAGAGCTGAACCAGATAGATTTTTTTAAGCTCAAAGTATTTCACATGCATTCTTAGCTGATTTTCAAGAATTGTCTTGTGACATAGAGCAGAGTTACTATTCCCATGTTTTTGCTGAGGCTTACATAATGACAACTTGCTTAAGCCAACCTAGTGAGATCATGACAAGTGTAATTTGATTGAAGTGCAAACTGTCTATTTCACACCTTTAACGATTGGTAAAGATTGTAGAGAATTGCACAAATCCACAAAACTTTCAGAACTTTGTCAAAAAACCATTTCCTTTATGTTTTCTGGTATTTATTTATTTATTACATTTCTATCCTGCCTTTTTTCATCCTGTAAGAAACCCCAGGTGGCTTGTGTGAGACTTCACCTCTTTCTTTTATCCTCACAATGACCCTGCTGGGCAGGTTAGACTGAAAGTCAATGACTGGCCCAAAGTCACCAGTGTTTGAGGTTCACAGTCAAGTGGAGACTTGAACCCAGAACTCCTAAGTCCCATTCCAACACTCTAACAACTTCACCATGCCGGTTTTGTTTCTCTAAGGTCACCTTGAGGATGCTTAAACTGCAACATGAACAAGCAGAGCAAATCCCTATAGAATATCAGAATCTGATTGAATTCTGCACGCCTTACAAGTCTGGCGAGAAATACCTGGAGTTCATTCAGAATCTGCAGAAAAGAGAGCTTCCAATGGAGGTGTACAAGTTTGATGAATTTGTACCTTCAGGACAAAGGTAAAGAAGCTCAAACCTTATTCTTTCTCTCTTCCCTTACTGTGAGCAACATGGTTTCTTATATCCCGCCTCATTTCTGACCCCTGATGTCTGCTGTCCCAACCCTGATTTTTGCAAGCTCTGAAGACCTGTAACTGTTCTGATAGTAGTTTTAGGATGTAAAGCTGTCACATGTGTAATAAACAGCATTCCTTTCAGGCTAAAATTCTATCAGTGAAGATCACAGCATGTTGAAGGCATATAACAGGGTGGAATGATGTGATTTCAAGTAGCAGGAGATAGAAAGCACTTCTTGCATCTTTCCCAGTGGTAGCATTGGCTCTCTCTTCCTGCAGTTGGCACACCAGCTCCTTTGGAACTGTGCCCCTCTGCAGAAAATTTCAAGATTTCCATTCAAAGAACCATCATTACCTCCAGACATTCATTTGGGATGGTTAAACCTTCCTAATTTTTGCCATATATTTCCATGGTGGGTCTTCAGCAGAATCAGCTGAACTCTCAGCAGCTGTCACACAACAGCAGTGAAGCCCTTGGTTGACAAATGGTGGCTTTTGATCACTGCTTCCACCATGGCCCCACAGCTTTAGCATGCAAGGTACCCCAGCTAGGCAATGGGACACAGAATGCCTGCATATGTCAAGACAGACTTGAAAGCTGTACTTCCACATATACTTCCATTCACAACACGAAATTGACTTGCCTCTCTCCTGTGCTTACTTTATCATGCAATCTGTGTTTCATGTCACACTCATTTTTCAGTGGTATATATTTTGATACTACATCCCCCTTATCTTTACTATGCCATGAGGTACTACATCAAAAACCTTACTGAAGCCAAATTGTAATATATAGCATTATATTGCCTACATTCCATTTATCAACTGGCCATGCCTGAACCAGCTATTCAGGAAGGATAAACTTGTTTAACTTAAAAACATTTTTGGGCAAAAAAATTAAGTTGTTTCTCTGTAGATTTGCTACAGATCTCTCTGAAAGCCTGAGGGCAGAATTGAATATTATGAGGAAAACAAATTTGGCAGATTCTCCCTTGTAAGTGCCACCCATTTTAAATACTACCCCTGCTGACAAACACACACACACAGAGAACTAAGGCTCTGTAACCTGAGGCATGTAGGCATGAGAAGAAATTATGATGGCGGGGGATAGAGGGGAGAATATGTGCCCCTCCATCCTGCCTACCAGTTCTCCTTACAAATGCCTCCTTTGTGTCTACATTCACAAACATGGAGAGGAACCAAAGACGACATATAGTTCCACTTTGAGTGGGGCATTTCCAGCTACTGCTTGCCCAGCCATGAGCCTGGAAGCAAAACAATACCTCAGAGAAAATGCACTTAAAAGCCAGAGCAGTTTGAATTCTTCTATGTAAGATCATAGCTTAACTGACTGCATAGTTTAAAGAAATCACTACTCTTAGCATGCTTTGAAAGGATGATGATAGACAGTGATAAGGGGCATGTAGTATCAAAATTATATATTACTGAAAAATGAGTGTGAAATGAAACAAGGACTGTATGATAACAAAAGCATAGGATATAGGCAAACCAGTTTCATGCTATGAATAAAAGTATGTATAGTAAATACGGTTTTTACTGTGCATCATTACTCTCTGTCAAAATCTGGGAGAAAAGTATATAAACTATGATTTGGAGGTATGCTACTCTATATATAAATTTTATCCAACTTTCTCCAAGACTTGAAAACCCAGTGTTTTAAATAGTTAGTGATTACATAACCCACTTGCTAGAATAGCAGGAAAGCAATGGGTATCTCTCTTATCAAGGGTGGTTATGCCCCTGGGCAATAATTTAGGGGACAAAAGGTTCTCCCACATGAAATAATGAAAGTAGAATTGCCATGCTTCATTCAGTCAGATTTTACAGGGGGATGTTTCCAGAAGAGGCTTTTATTGTACCATTGCCCTGCTTCATTCATGGAATTTTACAAAAGGTTTGGATGACATTGTCTCCTATTCATAGCCCACCTGTCTTTCCTCACTACTTCTGCCATCTTTTCTCTTACCACAGAAAATCTGTTGAGGAAAAAAAGATGGAATAGCTGCACTAGATGCAGCTAGATGTCCCAGTCTGGAAGCACTTAGGATTGCACCCCTTTGCAATCCTCCTGTGTTTCCCCTGTTCAGCTCCCATCTTTTTGCTTACTGCAGAATGTCTGACTAATATCAAAAGAATGAAGGAGGAGCACGATTTCCATTACTGCTATTTCTCTGCCTTTCTAAAGCAGAGTGGTTCTGATGTTGGCAATGACATACGAGGGTGGTGAACCAATCACAGCTCAGCACATGTTCACTGTAACCATTGCATTGGGTATCATTTTATAACCCTGTTAATTTTTCATACATGTTTTAATTACAGCAAAAATGCTTTTTCCGGGCTGTAGTATTTTAAAATGTCAATGTAGTAATGAAATACAGGTTAAAAGAGCTACAGAGTCTAGGGGCTTGCAGGATTCTTTGGATTCCTAGATTAAGGTTGGAAAGAGAGCTCCAACTGGCATAGGAAGTACCATGTCAGCTGCTTCTGTACAGTCAGTAAAATGACCTTGGAGAATAAGTAAAAGGGGTGTTCCAGGGGAAAGGGAGGGGAGGTGACTTGACCCACTAACCTCCTTTGCTCTCCATCCAAAGCATCACAGCTAGATGGCCAAAACTAGTTATCTAGCAGTCTTGCAGAGTAGAAAGAGCAGGGAGGCAGAGACAGGAGGCTCATAGGCACTGAAGGCACAGTCTACTGGATTGCACCCTGAATCAGCTCGCCCCAACTTAGTACCTTCTGGATGTTTTGGATAACAACTTCCAGCACTACTAGCTATTATCCAGGCTGATGGGAATTCAGGGCACCAGACTGGGCAAGGCTGTCTTAAACAAAAGAATGCTGAGAATGCCTGAATGCTGAGCATTCAGTTGGACCTTTCTGGAAGGAAATGCTTATTTGAAAGACAAATGTTTGCTTCTTGTGGAAAAACTGTGATGGGTAATGGATGTGTTGCTTTCTCAGGTCACCCTCCTATCCTAGAAGAAAGAATGCTGCACTTTATACCCGCATTCCAGCATCTGCTGCTGACCTCAGCAGCTCTTCAGAAGAAGTCCCTGGAAAACAGTCTTCCTCAAGCAGTGAGCAAAGTACGTTACATTCATATTTAGTTAATTTTCTCTTATCCTTTAGATTTATTTTCTGATCCTGGCTATTGCCAAACTAGATCAGCTTTTCCCAGCCTTGTATTCTCCAGATGTCCTGGACTACAACTCTCATCATCTCTAGCCACTATAGTTTGCAGTGCTTGCTCAGGGTGATGGGACATGTACATCAATACATATAGAAGGCACCAAGTTGAAGGCTGGGCTACCTCAATGAAAAGTGGGGTGGAGACAGTAGCAGTGACTGCAGAAGGGTAACCTCACAAGCAACATAATCTGAAATGCTTTGCTCTCCCCTCAGTGACTAGCAAGGAGGTGGGGGCGGGTATCATCTTTCCCCTGATTTCTACCTCAGGATTGATTACTTGCTCTCCCTCATTTAGGGAGCCAAAGTGTCTTTTCACACACATGATCCCAACTTTTCCCAGAGTGTCAATCTGTGGAAAATATTTTAATAAATATTAAGATTTGCTACTTATTGATTTATTTATTAGATTTATATCCTGCCTTTTTTTCTTTTTTAAGAACTCAGAGTGACTTACTTCATTCTCCTCCTCCTGCTCTCACAATCTTATCCCCACAACAACACTGTGAGGTAGGTTGGGCTGAGCATCTGCAACTGGCCAACAGTTGGAGTCAACCAGTTGGCTCCATGGTGGAGTCAGGAATAGAACCCAGATCACCTGAGTCCCAGTCCTGCACTCCCAACTGCTACACCACACTAGCTCTCAGAGCCTCAAAAATATTTCTGGGCCTTGATTTGCAGGCAACCAATTGCCAGTCCCTAGTCTTGGCTAGCAAAGAGCTCAGTGACTGGATTCACATGACACTTATAAGCCTCCCTAGTTTATAAATCGGTGAGTTTGTTGTGTCATGGCTTGTTTGGGGTGGCTTATAAGTCCAGCTGCAGGGGTTATACATCACCACAAAAGGTCATGGCTTGTTGCAGAGTGTATTCACTACCCCTGGGCTCACCATGTTGTCTGAACAGGATGAGAGGACCAGCATGGGGTCAACCCATAACTGCTATGGAGCCACTTGGCAAGGGCAGCCAAAAGGCTTGCTTGTCTTGCCATGTGGCTTGAGGTGAGTGCCTGCTTTCCCCCTTCGCAGTGCCACCACCTTTCAGTCCCACACACAAGGGCTCCTCGTGTACAGAAGTAAGACAGGGCATGCTTGTTAGTCACTGTCATATTGCCTGTGGTGATTGCTAGCAAGAGTGGCATTACCAGCCATCACACCCACCTGTGAGGACCAGACTAGAGCAAAGGGACACATTCTGCTTGGCCTACTCAGGAGCAGAACAGAGCACAGCTCTGTTCCATTCAGCACTCAGTTCATAGCAGCCATTTGGAATTCATCATTTTGAACATCTTGCCTCTGGAGCTCCCTGCCAATTCCATTGTATACCTGTAATTTAGCTGTTCCAGGAGCAGCCAGAAATGAAAGGAAATGCTCATTTCTGGAACAGGAGAGGGGCAGGGTCAGTGGATCTCATATAAAGGAGCTCCCCCAGTCTGTCCCAATCCAGAAACAAACTCTTGCAATCATCTCAGAGTTTCCTCCAGGAAGCAGGACATCTCTCTTGTGCAAGTATTGAGTCCTGCTTGCACAGATGAATCAGAGTTAAGGACCACTTGCACAAGGGCCCTGCTGGCCATTGCCCCATGCCTCCTCTCCGCTCATCTATCTCCCAGTTTCTCTTTTTCTCCCAGACAACTCCCTTTGGGAATCTTCTCTTCTCATTCCTATGGACTGTATCCTCTCCACCCTCCCCTTACAACCCAGATTTTTAAAGTCTCCATGCTTCCTTTGGCTTCCTCCTCCTCAAAGCTCTTATCTCCTCAATACTTGGCAGCATTTCTTCACTGCTCTTTTCCAAAAACCTTTTGGTTTGCCCTGCCTCTGTTAGACAAAAGTAGCCAGAGACTCATCAGCTTGTGCAATTCTCTCTCACATTGGTGTAATTTAGCCAGTTTTCCTTGTCAAGGATGAGTAGCAAAACTTCTCACTTACTATAGTGACTTAATTACATATCACTCTTTTCCTGGGGGAGCAAGCACTGCCCCCATAGCCCCACCAACTCCCTGAAGCCAGGGAAGTTGGTATTGGGGGCAGAATAACCTTGCCAGCTCCATGGCTAGCATAGTTTCTTGATAGTGTGAATATGTTAGGGGAATGAATGATCTTTGGGTCCTCTGGATTCATGGATGCCTACAACAACCCCCTGAAATGCCTTATTTTACCCACCAGCACTGGTGGAACACCTGTGCCTTCAGAGCTTTTTGCAGGTTCACTGGGAGATAGGGTGAGCTGGGTTCTAACAATGCAATTGCCATCTTGCTAGTGGATCTCCTCTGTCTGCAGAACGGTACATACTCAGCTTTCTATAGTTCTTCAACCAGTCTCTCAAAATAGATAGCATTGCCCCTTTACTTAGCTGAGAAATATATAGCTTATCTTTTTACTATAGAACCATTCTGGTTTTGACCATTCTATAGATAAAATGAACAATCTGACTTGTCTTTTTCAGAAACTGAGGAGAGGATTAGTAGCTGAAAATGCCTAACATCTAGCCTACAGTTTAAAATGTTGGGTTTTTTTTTCTTTTTTTCTTTTTTGGCTTTCTATCTTATATACTTTTAATCAATTAAAATAGGAATGGGTATATGAGCACCTATGCATGTATGCATGAGTTTATCATTTTTCTTACACATGTATGCATATATACACACATATATACTATATATGTCTGTACAAGTGTGCCCATGTATGCATTTATGCATTTGTTTGTGCATGCATGTTTATACATGCACATGTGTGCCTACAAAAATGCAAACACTTCTCTTTGAGGCCCTGAATACCAAAAGTGTTGCTCACTCTTCTACTTAAAGGTCTGAAAATTATTGATAGCTTTCTCCACCCAGCATTTTCTTTTGGCTAAAGATACCAAGAATCTTCTCACTTTCCTTCTATGACAGGTTCCTGGAAAGTTAGACTTATCACTGTATAGATTGCCTGATAGCAGGCTGATTATCTAAGTATGCTGCTGATGGGACAGATGCGCTACTTAATCATAACAGGACACTTCTTAAATAAGACACTGCAGCTTGGCATCTACATTACCTTGATCCAGTAGGCATACAACTGAATTCCCTGGAGTAGTGTTGGCACAGGCCAAAGTTAATGGACTTAGTAATGCTTTCTGACCTGCAGATTGTTGCACAGATGTTCTCCACTATCTTTTAAGATGACTCTTCCTACACCACTTACTGTCTTTCTTTCGTGATATAAAAAATAAAATATTTTTAGAGTGATATTCCTGTCTGATTATAGCAGTGTTTGCCCTAATCCTGCTACATTAACTGAATAACTACAGGGTGGGCCAAAAGTACTGATTGGGTATGGAGAACCTCACACAGTGGACAAATTGAAGGAGTTTATCTTGCAAGCATGTATCACCATTGGCACTAACCGAAATTTGTGTCACAGTGTCAGGTTCCAGGAATGTGACAATGTTGATGGAGGACATCTCAAACACCTAAGAAACTAAACATGACCTGATCAGTGCTGTATATCTACTTTTGGCTAACCCTGTATATTGAAAAAGTAAGAAAACTTGCTTGACTGGCACTGCTGAAAGGACTGAGGGCTAGTAGTTTTGCACTACTAAAGCCACATATGCGTTTGTTTGCATATATCTTTCTCCTTAGCAATAAAGATACTTAAAAAATGGGCAGACTGGTCCAAGCAAACATGGTGGTGTCACGCAGCTATTGAGGGCTAGCCTCTACCTTCTTGCTCCTGTCACCTCCTTTTCCTCTCTGCTGTCATTTGCAAGGACTTTAATAGGATGAAGGGCCAATAGGACTTGGCCAACTAGTGGGAGGGGAACATGCCAAGGGCCTCTGCAAACCTGTTGAGAGCCCACAGATGCCACTTGGTAACTTTGCTCCTGTGATGTAATGGATGCTAACCAGTTGGCACTCCCAAAGTCCAGCGAATCAAACACTGGAAAGAGAGAATTGGGTTTTTATAGGTTCAGCATGAAGCATGCCCCACACTTCAAAAACATATTTGACTGGACCCCACAGCAAGACAGGAAAAATATACATGTGAACTGTGGACAATTACAATACCTCTATCACTTTGAAAATATTAATTATGCTCATTTGTTTCACTCATTGTCCAGTTGTCAGCAAATCCTTCTACAGTGACACCGAGAGCCTGGGAGGGAGTATTGAGTGCCAGTCCTTGGATTCACTCACCTCCAGCCCAGGTGAGAGGAAGTGCATCTTGTTCATGGCAAAGGAAGAGTGATCATGTCAGTGCTGAGGGGAGTGAACTGAGTGACCTGATCATAAATGTTGTGCTGGAGAGAGATTACAGTTACATCTCAGAAGTGGTATATCTTTGGTTTGCTTCAGTGTGATCCTTGTTTTCCCAAACAGCCATATTTCTTACATTATCATATTCTTTTGCTAAATATCAGATTTCATGGTAATAATATGAGACCTTTTGGGTCTCATATTAATTATGTTCCACATTACTTGGCTTTTAGTATATATGAACCTTGGTGCTCATCTTCCTTTGTATGTGCAAGTCACTCTTGTTGTTTTTGCCAATGCACTTTTTTCCAAGTTAAAAGAATCCTTCTACAATTCTGAGTTTTAATTTGGTTTTCAAAGCTGGGTTTGCATTTCGAATTTCCAGATCAACAAAGTGACCATTTGCATTCCCTTTGCAAATTTAAGTGATCCTGAATTACACTTCCTAAAAATAAATAAATTCTGTATTTTGGCTGAATGAATAGGCTAGGAGCACAACCTGCCATAAAGTTGCTGCAACTACGTAAGTATTGATCTGATCAGTCACCTGGATGGGAACATAAGAACAAAGTAAAAGTCATGCTGGACAAATGATCCATCTAGTTCTGCACTCTGTTCATTCAATGGCAAACCAATTGCCCATGAAATCCCACAGCAGGACTAGTGTGTAACATCACTCTCCTGTCCTTGTTCCCCAGCAACTGATGTACGTACATGGGCACACTGCCCAAGTAAAGTCTGATTTAAGTACGATGCATCAATTATGTAAATTATGTAATTTATAATACATAAATTTCATCAGCAGTACACCATTCTGTAGAAAACTGATACCTGCTATTCAGTTTAAAGCATTTCCAAGGCAAATAATAAATATAATAGTACAGTTTAAAACAAAATAATAATAGGAACAACAACAAGAACAACAACTGATAATCAAGAAGAGAGTATCCAGTACACCACTGCAGACATCTTGCCTCAAATATTAAAAGATTGCTTTTAAAAATAAATCCTGAACTGCATGCTTGAATAATGCAGGCTTGTAGATTGATAGCTCTCAAGGGGCAGGGAGTTGCATAAACGCAGTGATGCTTCAAAAGGTATTTGCACTGTTTCAGGCCAATCTTGCATCTCATGGAAGTGACCTTTGCAACATATTCTTTTTACTAAGTGGGCATCACTAAACAGGAAGGTATAAATGGGAGAAGGCACTTGTCAGATATGCTGGACCTAAGCCCTCTTGGTCTTTAAAAATACAAAATAGCACTTTGAATTTGGGGATAGATCAATAATCAGTGAAGCTCTTGAACAATAATTGTCATATGTATCCAAAATCTAACACATGAAAGATATCTGTGTTTGATGTTATTTGCTTTTATATTGTTTAATTGTTGCCAGCCACATGGCACAGCTCATAGTTGCAGGTGTGGGTGGAGTGAGGTACAGACATCAATATACATCCTGGATCAACTGTAGTTTCCAAGCTATTTTCAAGAATGACCCTGTCAGTAGTAAATTCCAGTAGTCTAGTTGAGCGTTTGCCAGGGTTGACAGCATCAACATCAGTACCAGGCATCTTGTCTTTTTCATGTAAGAAATATCAAACCCAGTGCAGCTTTGTAATTAACTACCTTGACTCTTAAGTGGGTCTCATTTTGTTTAAAGAAGAATTTAACTCATGTTTAGGCCACAAGAAGTTGCTGAAAGCTCCGTCCACTGGAACGGTATCCTCAGAGGAGTGTGAAGACAAAGATTTGATATCAGCCTATGATAACGGTGAGAAGCAAAACACCCTCACTCTATTGTGTGCATAGATACATCTTTGGCTATTCATCAGTCTGTAGAAAAATGCTTCAGTCCAATACAGACTGATATCCACATGCCTCATTCCCTTTTCAGATCTCAATGATGCATCTGAAAATGACTTGTTCCTTGGCCAGTTTAAGGACATAATCCTGTCAAGTGCTGCTCGGACCCACCGTCTACGGAAGCTGCGACACCGTTCAAAATGCAGAGAATGTGAGACCTTTGTGGATAATGGCCTTGAATGTGAAGAGGTAAGTTGAGCATAAAGTTGAGCATAAATTGCTGTACTGTAGCATGAAGTTCAGATCTGAAACAGGCTCTTGTACTCAGTACAGCTTCAGGAAGAGCACAATAGTGTTGGGAAAATGGAAACCACAAAAATAGTCTGGAGTTTACAATGTAATCCAGGGATTTTGAAATAATTATTTAAGCTTTGGCCCTATGCCCATTTGTCTGGGAATAAGTCCCATGGGGACTTACCTCTGAAGAAATATGCATAGGATGCTGCTGTCTATTAAGTGAGTCTTATGCCCTTTGAGACAGTAAACTCCAAATATTAAACTATATTCCCCACTCCCCAACCTGACATTGTCCAGGTGAGGGTCTCAATTTCTGCAGTTGCACATGTACAGCTAAAAAAAGAATTAAACAAGACAAAAATGTGTATATTCAAAAAAAGTTTTAAAATGTTTGCCAACCACTGACAGCTGCTCCAAGGTGGCACTCAAGCACTTTGAAGGGATTGTCAGTGGCTGCCACAACAAAAATTGAAAAAGCTGGCTGTAAAGCTAGACTTCATGATATTCCCCTCACCTCCCCCCCCACCCCCCAAAAAAGTGTAAAAGGACAAAAAGCCACAGCATGCCAAAATTTGCTCCCAGTCATGCTAAGGAGCTAGAAGATGTTAGTCCTGCTGCTGGGTCCCTGAGATATCCATGGGAGGACAGAAGAAGGGGGCAAACAACAATGAGGAGCCCAACTGACTCTTGGACACACTGAAGGCTGTTTGCACAACAGCCAACCTACCATGATTTATTGGCAGGATGGGTTGCCATGATATGTGAACGTGCCCAACAACTCCTCTAGTGGGTGAATATGTATCAGATAGATTTGCTTGCCAATCTGAACTTGGCCAGTGCAATGGTGACATAAAAATATTGTATGTATACTTGGACCTCTAATGTAGCTGGATGTGAACACAGGAAAAGAGAACAGGGAATCTGACCCATTAGAGATCACTCTCAGCAGTGATTTGCTGTTTGCACCCCACCTCATTGCTGCCTTAGTGACAGACAGCTTTAGAGTGACAATGTTTAATTGTATTGTCTCATTCAGGATGGCCAAAGTCAGAGAGCTACAAATGGTGTTAGAGACTTCATTCTCATAGCATTAACACATGTTTACAAAACAGTACCAAATGCTGGAAAGGCCATTTACCAGAACAAAAATGGTATGAATGTAGATGCCACAAGCATCTTCAACTTTCCAGCCTCCTCCATTTTTGCTCAGCTATGATGCAGTGTTTTTTCATTCCAGTCCTGATGATCACTACTTGGCTATAAACTGCCCAGAGGATGCTGACCCAATATTGTTTCTTGGGTTCAGTTCCCTTTTTGAAGATGAGAGCTAACTGTACCCTAGTTCATAATATTGGTCTGAGAAATAATCAGAGCTGGCCTTAACATGAAGCTGGGAATTGTCAGCCAGCAATTTCCAGAGCAGGAGTATTCTGAGTAGGCTTTCCAAAAGCAGCTGATTGGCCATTTTAGGAAGCAGGACATTTGACTGGATGGATTTTGGATCTCCTCCAACAGGGATCTCCAACAGTCTTGCTTTTAGTTGCCATTAATGTGTGTCATTAAAAACAAGCAGAAGCAGAGTGCCATGTTGACTTTTGGATTCAGGAGTTGAAACGGAAAGCACTGGAAAGAACAAGTGTCCTTCCCATCTACCCCCTTATACGTCTTCCTAATGGTAGTTCAGTGGATGTTCAGAAAAAAAAAAGAATTCAGAATATGGCTTAGAAGGTTGTGAAACTCTAGGATATTGCCAATTCCAGGACCCCAGTGTGTACTTGAGTGTAATTCCATAGCATATTTTTTCTTGTCTATATAGTAAAGCACTCACATTTGTTCTGCTGGCACATAAAATATTCCTTCTGCATCCTCAATCCTAAAAGAGTTAAACTGGCAACTCTTTAAGTACCATTTCATGACAAACCTATTCTGCCAGAGATACAGGACATAAGGGCCTGCAACCAGTCACAGCTCCCTGAAGAGTGGGCCTGTGTGGTATTCATATCTATTACATTCTTTACCATTTAATTATAAAATGTAAAACAATGTTATGTGTGTAGCTCTAACGTGAGATTGCTATGTGTATTAAGACTGTGGCCATATCAGAAACAGCCTGTGCTTAGCCTAAGAAGACAAGTAATCCTGCAAACACCAATGTGTCCCCCTGCTGCTAGTATGTTGAGCACTTCTCAGACTATTGAGGTGTGAAAAATAAGAATGGGGCATCTTCTGGACTGCGAGAGAGCCGAGCCAGACTAACTCAGTATTTGTGGGCTACTTGCAGTGCTTGATGACCTGTCACAAGAAATGCCTGGAGAGTCTTCTCATCAATTGTGGTCACCAGAAGCTGCCAGCTCGAGTGTCACTTTTTGGGATTGACTTTCTTCAAGTACCACGGGATTTCCCAGAAGAGGTGCCATTCATTGTGGTGAAGTGTACCTCGGAGATAGAAAGTCGTGCCCTGGGAGTGCAGGTAATTGATTTCCTCTCTGCACAAATCCTGTTGCAGCATAATCTGTGTTCTTTAAGAAACCAGAACAAGCAGCAGCAGTGAGGTCCATCCATAGTCTCAATGCCCGTACAAGAAGAGCTTGATAAATAGTAACTTAGTGGTACAGCGGCTGCTCTGAACACAGAAAGGGCTAGGAAAGAATGCTATCTGCAGCCCAGGAAAGCCTCTGTCATTCAGTGTCAACAATACTGGGCTAAATGGTCCAGCAGTCTGAATCAGTGGAAGGCTGCTTCACACCTTCCTAGTTGAATAGCTGCTTGTCTATAAACACAGCAAACATAGCATTGTGCAAACTAAAACAAGTATTGCAAGGCAATACTTGACTATTAGTGTTAGTTCAGGTAAAGGGCAAATGAGAACACAGTTGCTTGTGGTGAAACTGATATTGATTTTTTCATTTGTTTTACTGCTTTTGCTTGATACCTCTATTGCCTGGCAAAACAACCTATGGTTGAAAATTCTCGTGTGATGACAGCCCATGGTTTAAACAACCCAGAGTTCACAATCCAACAGCAAACCATGGGTTCTTTTTTGGATTGTTTGTGGTTAACAAACCATTGTTCATGCAGTTGCATGTCATGACAATATGGAATTAAACAATTCATACTGTGGGTTAGGACTATCTGTTAACCAGGTCATTGGAAAGGGAACAGTGGCCACCATTGGCAGCATTGTTAATTGATGGAAATGTTTAAAATGATGAGAAGCTTTTACATAATAAGAAGCAGAGCATGCTGGGAGAATCTAAGTGCTTGATTGGTAGGACAAGAAAGACTGTCTACCCCTTTATATATCAGTCTCACAGCATTTGTACAGAAATAAAGAAGACAGAATATGGCTCAGAAGGATGTGGAACTCTGATATTGCCAATCACAAGACTTTGATGTTGTTCCATGCATTTTTTCTCATGATGTTAATTAGCGCTGAATTTCCAGCTAAGTCCAGGTGTCAGTTCTACAAGAAATCCCTCAGAGTTCCAGGAGAGGAGGAACAGTATGCATATATTGGTGCTTGGAATCCCACCAGCTGAGTTGTCTGTGTGTTTGCACATAAATACATGCATACCATCTCATTCGATTCTTTATGTCCTCTATTCAGGGAATTTACCGCATCAGTGGGGCCAAAGTCCGCATGGAGAGGCTGTGCCAGGCCTTTGAGAATGGCCGGAGACTGGTGGAGCTCTCCAATCATTCCCCTCATGACATCACTGGAATCCTCAAACATTTCCTCAAGGAGGTATAGAAGAAAGATGGAAATATCCATAGAAGTGCATTTGTCGGTACTTAAAAGTGATTCCCCAAAGGGTTGTATCTTAGGCAGACAGTGGGAGTTCCTCAAGCAACACAACCTCCAAATATCTAGAGGTTTGTTTTTTCTAAGGACAAACAGCAAACATATGAAATGCAAACTCAAAGTTGTGGTGCAACCCTGCCTTTTTCCCTGCATCACAATCATCTAAAGGACACTGGGGAAGGCAGGCATACATACCAACAAATCATGCAGGCAGCCTACCCTTTGGCACAAACGCTGTTATACATTTGCTTGTCCAACTATTCTTACATTTTAAAAGGGGAATTTTATAAAAGAGCAGAACTATTCTGTAGTTTTGAGAGTATCACAGAGGCCAGCCACTTCCTGCTTCCACTACCAATTTGCAGAACTGTTACATCAGAGCTGAACTCTGTTCAACAAGGTATCTTAGGCCAGAACATGGAACAACATTTCCAAGATGTCCCCATTGTTGTAATAATTTTATGTCTGTCTCCGTCTATAAGCAGTTTATAAGATGGGCTGTTCTAAATGCTGTTTGAATTGGCTGGATGTAATTTTAGATTGGGGCAATCTGGGAGTAGGACAGTTGTAGAGTACAAGCATAACACTACCAGCTTTCTGTATTCAAAACTGAGCTTCCTGGGGCCAGAACACTTGCCAAAAATCAACCTCAGTGAACCTACCTCTTCCTTGATTCATACTGACAGCACTCCAGTGCTCAGAGTTCATGTTGCAATAAAGTTGGGTGTCATGAACCCTATACTGGAGCCCTCTGCTGGGGCTTACTCCTCAGCAACAGAAGGAACAATTCTTTTGATGCTGTCTTTCTGCTTTCCTGATCCCAAAGGTGCTGCAGAATGATGTCTATAGATCTTGAAAGTTTAGTGAGCTCAGGCATTCTTTTGAGCTCCCCAGTGTTCTTTAGATAATGCTCCTCTCGTCACAAAGAATGTTGAACGAGCAAGCCCATTTGTTCTCATTGGGTGACACTGATTATTGGACCACATTCCAATTAATGGGCTTTGCACACGGAAGTTCTGGTCGCCTCTTGGGACATCTGCCCTGCACAGGGACAGCACACAGATCATCAACAGGGCTGGCATCCCGAGGAAACCATGTCTCCCACTCCACCTCTCACCTGTGCCTCTGTCCTATCTAGTCCCTGACAATCCTTGAGACTGTCAACAAGTCCTGCTATCCCCACCTCCAGAGCTATGCAACAAACTGTTCAAACAGCCAGCTGGAAAACTTTCCCAGTGCAACTTTCTCACTTGCACTTCTTCAGGAAGGTCTGCCCAGCAGGATGTACTCCCTGCATCGCTAACACAGGTGCCCACACTGATGCTTTTGTGTGCCTTGCTGCAGTGGGGAGGCAGCCCCCTGGCAGTGTGTGCAAGTCCCGTCCATAGGGGACCATGGACAAATGTTCAGCAAGGGAAGAGGGAGAGATGTGTGCATTTGCTTGTACATTGGCACAGAGCATGGCAGCAGTGGAGAGGGCTACTCTAGTGCTATTCCAGAGTGATGGCACTACTCTAGTGAGTAGGCAGTCACTTGCTGAGCAGCAGAAAAAACAAAACAAAAAATGCAGCTGGCTGAGGTCATGCCCAGGGGAGTGTGTGGGACAGTGAGGAAAGTCAAACAGTGCAGGCAACAGCAGTCCACCATGGGATGGATTTTGAACAGGGGGCTTGATGAGATAAGTGGCTCCATTAGGAGGAAAGATGGAGGAGGGTGGAAACCATTCATGCATGGAAACCACTTGCCTGTCTGAACTCGGACCTCAAGGTAAGATAGCACCCCAGGTGATTAAGAGTTGTTTTGAACATGGCCAAGGTGTTCTGACACTTGTCCCCACTCTTGTTACAGCTTACCAGCCCAGTGCTTCCATACAAGCTGTATGATGAGTTTATGGCCCTCTCAAGGAGTTTGCAGAGAACTGAAGACAGAAAAGGAGATGGGTCTGAGACATGGGCAGATTCCATCAAGACCGCAAAGGACTTACTGAGCAAATTGCCAGCAACGAATTATAACACTTTACGGCACCTTATTGCTCACCTGTACAGGTAATGGGTGGGGCACCTGACATTGAATTCTCAGCTTTTGTCTTGTAGAAGAGATTGTATATGGTGAACCTATTAAACTATTTGGACCTACATTGGAGACCCCATTTTAGGGCCCCAACATGGCTAAAATCATTTTTATAAAAGCATTCTAACACCCACATACAAAGTTTAGTTGTATATAAAGGAACTAGGAATATTGGCCACAGTCAAAAAATGGAGACCTATAAGTGCAATTTGTGCCTTGCTTTCTCCCAAAGCCTCAGGCATCAGTAGAACATTTAAAAGACACAATTTCCATCTCCTAATGCTTAAAAAGAAAACTCAAATCAAGGATTCTTGAATAATTACAAAGGGTATCAGCTGTTTGTATGTTCTTAAAGTAGGGAAAGTACACACTAAGGCAAATACAGGTAGCAGAATCTTGGTAGGCACTTCTTCTAGGACAGTGGTTGCTAACATGGATTCTGATAACTGGGATTCTGCAGTTGCTCAGACAGGCTTCCTCAAAAAGGATGCTACTGCTAATCCTCTACTGAAATGCACAAGCAAGTGCTGAGTGTGATCCAGGGCATTCATTCAGTTCACATGAGACTCTTGTGTGGTTCAGTGTGCCTTTGAAACTTCCACAGAAACATTTGCAACATGCAGTAGTCCTGCAGCAGAGAAATCAATCCAATAATGATGCCCTAAACATAGTGAGCTTTGAAAACCTCCATTCTATGAATAAATATCTTTGGGAGGAGGCAGTTTGGGAAAAAAAGAATCAGTAAGGTTGTAGTGGTACACTTAGCCCTTTCCTACCTGCGGCTTCTCCCTCTCTGCTCTCCCCTTCCCCCATGGTGTTCTACACATACTTGTCCTCACAAGCACATTTTCTGGAATTCTATGGAGAGGAAAATTCATGAAGCACTTTCAGGATAGGAGCATTGAGATATGCAAAGACCTGAGCAACTGCCCTCCTCTAAAATGCCCCTTCACAAAACTGACTTCCTTGGAAGCTTCTGCTAGAGCTTTGTTGCACACATCTGCATGTGCCATGTCATTCTGCCCCAGGTGCAACTGAAGGGTAGAAGGGGGGTAGTTTGCACAACTGTGATCACTTTTGTATTAAGTCTCAGCCAAGTAGTCTCATTTGGAAATGGACATTTAGTATATACTTGGCATTTATATTGGAGAGTGGCCATTGCTCAGTTCCAGAACACTTTTTTCATAGATAGAAGATAGGTTCAATTCCTGGCATTTCCAGTTTCCATATAAACTACCTATAGCAAGTGACAAGAAAGAGACTTCTCTTCCTGAAACTGTGGGGAACTACTGTGAGTTACGGTACACAGTACTGGACTAGATGGACAAACCTGATAAAAGGTAGCATCCTGTGCTTCCTATGAAACAGAAGGTCTGCAAGAAGCAGAGAGTTCCTCCAGTGAAGTCAAGGGTACTGCATTTTTTTTCTTGTATTCAAGCACCTATCTTTTGTTGCTGGGGAAATGTAGCTCTTCCCCTGACAGCATAACTGTTGCTCTCAAAATCACTGTGTGTGATATAGTTGCACAAGTGTTACAGCCCCTGTTGGATAGTGACTGGGTTCTCATGATATGCTAAGCCACTGGGAAAGCATGTGAAACCACTCTCTGACTTACCTTGGGGTGCTTTCTGAGCCACTTGGGATGACATATAAACCACACAAAGTGGTCACAATTTGTTGTGGGGTTAAGGAAGCTCCCTGTTTTGACTTTGCATGTTATCCAAACACAGTTCAGTTCTGGGTTTGGATGGTCAAGTCAAAAAGCTGAAGAGCCCCTTGGCGAGAGTAGCAAAGAAGGGTTCTTTGCAAAAGAAAAAAAAAACTGGGGAGACTCATGCTTCCTCCTTCTCAGGCCTCACAGTGGGAGAAGTTTGGCTTTGCTTTAAGCCACTCTGTGTTTAAAGTATCTTTCATTCCCCTGCCCCTTACTGCCTGAGATGAAGGACCAGTTCCCTCCTGTACTACAAACCACAAGATGAAAATGTCTACCTGCTCTATGGACAATGCAGTGTAAATACCCTGGTGTCTCTCATTTCTGAAACAGTATTCAGCTTGTCAGCACACCTGCAAAATCTTGACGACTGTCTTTCTCTTTCCAAGGGTGGCTGAAAGGTACAAGGAGAACAAAATGTCACCCAGCAACCTGGGGATCATCTTCGGCCCTACACTAATTCGCCCTCCCGCTAGCAGTTATGTTTCCATGTCATGCCTTGTGGAGTCAGGCTACCAGTCCCAAATGGTTGAGTTTCTCATCCTCAACTATGAACGGATCTTTGGGATAGACGACCTGCCTTCGGCTGGGCTTTGTGAACGTGACAACTCTTTGAAAGAAACAAATACCAATGAAATACTTTCAAACAGTGAAAAAGATGTCAAGGTAGGGATTACTGGGGGGGGGGGGTCCCACATATCTGCTTTTCATTATTTGAGGGGCTATTGCATTTCCTTGATTCCTTTGCCCACTTTCCCTTCAGGAATGTATATGCACCTTATTCAAAGTAGTAGTATTTTGAAGGAAAGAGATACACTAGAAAGCAGCAGGGACTGAAAAAGTACAGGAGAACAGATTCATTTGGAACCACCAACTATAAAAGGACCTTGAGGAAGATGAAGGCATCACATTGTTCTGTAGCTTTGAAGGCAGGGAGGGCTGTGAGCTTTTCTACACAGGGCTGTAACTCTGCTGTGCCTACTTTCTGTTTTGTCAAAGAATTGAAATCCAAGCTCTACACAAAGAACATGTTCTTTCCTGCTTTCCCACTAGATAACCACCAGGTGGCACTGTGGAATAGCAGAATAATGCAAATACATCCATTTAAAAGTGTTTTCTTTCACCTTTGCAGTCAATTACTGTTTTCCCCACTCTAAAAATCATATATATGAACCTCTCTCTCTCACACACATATGCATGTGCACACACATACGCACACTGCACTCACTTCTGCTAGCACAAAAGAACAATGAGATACTATCAAACATCAAAAGTAGAAGTGATGACTTAGAAAAAAATAAAATAAAAATATAATAAAATAGTTGTTTCAGGGGAAATATCAAGACTGCAGTCTGCATAATCATTCTATTACAGTAGGGAGTGCAGAAATGTTATGATGTGGCACTCAACTTTAAAGTGGTGAAATAAAAACTTCTAATTATACTTCCCCTCCCCTCAAAAAAAAAAAAAATCTGGCTATGACTCACCTCTTTCAGGCCCTGTCTGCTTTACCAATGGTTTTCTTTGAGTGACCACAGCTTCACAAAGTTGCTAGGAGTGTTCAGCACACCATTCACAGGCACTGCTTTTTCCAACAGAAACTCCTTCCTAATCTTGATCTTGATCTTGAGCTTGATGAAGATGATGATGACAATGATGATGATGGTGGTGTTGTTGCTGAAGTCTTTTCTTCCACTGAAGCCACAGAGAAGCACAATATGGAGCAAACACCCTGCACTGTAACAAGAGACACCGTAGGTAATTTTTGTCCTCTGTAAAAACAAGCTCTTAGGAAATTGTAGTCAATACTTTTACAGAATCATAGAATAGTAGAGTTGGAAGGAGCCATGAAGGCCATAGAGTCCAACTCCCTGCTGTTGCAGGACACCATGCTACACCATCCCACTCAGATGACTGTCCATTTTTGCCTTGAATGCCTCTAGTGTGGGAGAGCTCACCACCTCTCTAGGCAGCTGTTCCACTGTTGTATGGCTCTGACAGTGAAGAAGCTCTTCCTGATGTCCAACATGAATCTGGGTTGTCACGAATTGAATTGATTATTCCATGTCCTACATTCTGGGGATAATGTTTTGAATTCAGCAAGTTTAAAACAGCTGGCTCAACTACCCCCTCCCGCAGACTATTAATGCATTCCTTCTCATAACCTCCAGGTACCTGCATGCTCTTCCCCTAGATACTTTGGCTGTAGAGTTGGCTTTGTCTGTTTTGATCAGAGTGGTCAAAGAAGGGATGTTTGTTATATGCTCTTCACCTGTAAATGAGGCCAGCCCAAAGTATGCAAAGTCTGCAAGCCATGTGTGCACACGCAGGACTGTGCTTACAGTGTAGGCATGCAGATGGCAAGTAGCAGAACTCTGCTTGCATAGCAGGTGTGCAGGCAGAGGACTACATGTGTACGAGCTGGCCTTACTAGTGATATCCATGCAATTGGACTTGCTTCCTGGTGGATGGCTGTGCAAATGCTCATTGTGAGGCAGACTCAGGGCAAAGAAGAAATGTGCCAAAGTCCAGGGAGCCAAGCTGAGGAAATCCCACCCTCAGACCAGATTAGTCAGACATGACTACTCCCAAATACTATTGCTGATCAAAATCATCACTGCAGCACAGATTCAGAATGGTTTCCAAAGGCATCCACATGTAAAGTTTATTCCAGTAATCTTACCCTGATTGGCACATGAGTGGCCATAGCCAAGCTGTATCCCTGAAGAAATGATACAGTTCACCATCCTAAGCAGGGCAAAAGTCCTTCTTGACAAAGCTGACACCTGGGAACCAGGAGCTAACCTGAGTCCAGGAACATTCCCCAAATGTTAACCTGATTTTTAAAGGAATTGCCATCCCATTCCTATCCCATCCCATTTCAATAGACTGAATTCTACTTGTCTTATACTTAAGACTATTTTTGTCATGTCTAGAATAAGTTTAGATGTGTTAGACAACATCCAGTCCATTGCTGATCTCAGCCTGCTGGAATTCAATGTAATGACCTCTGCCTACCTAGGTGGAAAGAGCTGAATACAGCAGCCTTTCAAGAACAGCAACTTCTGTTCTCCTTTATTCAGAACTAGAGACTGTGGAAAAGTCAGCACTTTCTTCTCAGAGTGGCTTTTATAGCAGAGAGGAAGAACAGTAGCTCAGTCCTTATGGGCCGGATAAGCATTAATGCTGAAACTGATGTGGGCTTGAACAACTGATGCAGAAAAAATAAATGCACAGTTTCAACCTTGTGGAAGGCCCAAGGCACATATATCTAGACTACAACTGAGATAGTTTGTAGTGGATTTAACAGCCATTTCCTTTCCCGGGGAACCGTGAGAATTATAGTCCTGCTGGGGATGGGATAAGAGAGAGGATCTGTAGCATCAAATTCTCATCACTTGCATCAACTAAGGTTCCCAGAGTTCCTTGAAGAAAGCCCTGACAGGCTTCCCTGAGGAAAAAATTGGTGGGCCACTATAAAGGATTCTGGCTAAAGGAATCCAGCAAAGTTCTTCTTAGGTACTTATGACAGCATTGACCTGATGCAAATTTGTAATGCACATATGCTCTAGGGAACAAAAAACCTACAAAAAATAGATGGCTGATGTATTTACCTCCATTACTGGCAGGACTGCACATGCCAACTGCTATTGCACTGATTGGAAGGGACAGATTTTCTGTCTCCTGCCATAATGAAGACTTACATTGGGAATGTTCTTTTTGCTTCTGCAGAGTGATCCAGGCAACCCTTTAAAACCGTAGTTTTTAGGCAGGCATCAAGTATGTTGTCTCGGATGAATACGTTAAACAGGCCATCCTATTCCCTAATTCCCTCTAGTGTATCTTCTTTTCACTCAGAGCTGAACAGCAGGAACTGTGCCAAACAGAAGGACTCTCTGCTTGACCCAGATACCATGCTCAGCCCACATCCCAGAGGACGCTTCAGCCGAATGCCAGTGAAACATGCTCGCACCATGATCCCCAGAGTTTCTACCCTACCCTTGCTGGTCACTGCCCTGTCTAACTCTGAGGCAGTAAGTGGTCTTCTGGAGCCAGGAACAAGCAGCCGCAGTTCATCACCAGACACCCGTGGGAAATGCAAGCACTTTGAGATCACTCCAGAGACTGCTAGGATTGTCTCCAAGCTCCATCCTGTTAATGATAATCAAGATGGCTGTCCAAATGAGCTGGAGACACTGTTGCAAGGAAACTCTCTGGATGCTCCAGAAGGTAGCAACACAGATGCTTGAGCCATTGCATCTTCCTTTTTAGGACACAAAGTGGACACAGGACAAAACTCCCACTTCTTGGATAAAGTTTGGAATGGCCAGAACATAATTCTCCAGAAGCAGAAAATGGCAATCTTTGTTTCTCTATCAACCGATCAGTAGGCTTGGTAAATGGAAAAGAAACAGCGCTGGGTGTCTCTTCCACAAATATTGGGGCTTGTACATACAGGGTTCTTAGCACTACCTGTTAAAAGACATTGTGCAGATACTCCATTTTTTCTTTCTTAATAGATTTTTTTCTTAATGGAAAGAAAAAAGACAAATGGGGAAAACACAGGAGGGTTACAGGTAGAAAACTGGGTCCCCTGGACCCATGTAAAATTTTGTGAATGGGGCATGGTGATTGCACAATAAAAGCTTTATCTGGAAACACCTGTGGAGGGATGATTCCTCCTTCAGATTTAGCTACTGCATTCTACTACTGGCTTACAGTGTGTTTGCCCAGCTATGTCCAAAATACAGAGACCAAATCAGACTGAGATAGCATAGGCTACAAACCCACAGTTGCAGGCTGATGCAGAGAGTCTACCTCCAAGGAGTAAAGAACAGGTGAAATCCAGGATTGCTGAGGTGTGGGTTTTCCAGTTGTGCTGGGTATGTTTGGAAATGGTGGTGACGTAGCTATACTGGGGGACTGGACCCAAATGACATAAGCAGGGCTGCCTATAACCTGAGGTTTAATATGCCAGAATTATCAAGAAAGCAGGTGTTTCTAAATTTTTACATTTTCCATCATTCTGCTTTAAAAAAAATATTGTGTATAATTTATTCAGCACATCCTATTTATGTAGAAGGGAAAAGAGCTACAAAAGGTACTGAAGTACCACTTCTGACTCCTGGAATATTTACTTACCTCTCTAGCATCTGAGATTTCAAATGGCATTGCTCACTAATTTCAAGCAAATATTTGCCATCCTCAGAGAAGTTGGTGGTGGTGGTGATGGTGGTGGTGTTCAAAAACAGATTTCCAGGAAGCTGAATTTTGTTCCTACTATAATTTCCTGTGTTTTCTGCTCTCTTGTGCTTGTGCTTGTCTAGAATTTCAGCCTACACATCCCCATGGATGTGTGGCAGCTCTCTGTTGAGTACTGGTATGCTATTAATTAGGAGGAAAGCAAAAACATGGGTGAAAGTGCATGTTCTTGAGAGAATGTTTAGCTGCAGCACTGAGTGGGTGGACAGCTGAGATGAGATGTTCTTGCAAGGCTGTTATAGTATCAGCATGGCTGCACTCATTTCTTTGTAGGTTGTGTGTGGAACTTTTACTGCTCTGTATACAATGAATTTCTTATAATGATATCACTTCCATGCTGGAAGTTCTGTTGTGTTACATTTGTATGCTATCACATATGTCTGCTTCCCTATGCATGAAGCTTGCAACATGGACACTGGGCATGGCCTTTTCTATAGGCAGCTGTTGATCTCCCTGCTGCTTCTCTCCCAGATCTATCAGCCACCTCCCCTCTTGTGTAGCACTCTTTGTGTCCTGTAGGATGAGCCGTAATTGTCTCCCATTTCATTAGGATATAAAGGTCCATGTCTGAGTCATAAGGGGCCATTCCAACTATATGTATCCTCTGTGGATATCTACCAGCAGGTCAGGCTTCCAACCTGAGTACATGAACTGAAACATTTGTGCCTTTGTGACTCTATATTGGCCACTTGCAATTTCCTACATGGAAATTTTCTCAGTGTAGGAAGCAGCAGAACATGGTAAGTGCCTTTCAGAAGAGAAATCGAATAGCAGTATGGAACAATCCAGTGCTGAAGTAATGCAAATCCCAAAGCATTTCCATCCTCACCCTCAGCAGGTCTTCAATATGAATGCTCATGCTGCAAGTGAGCCATAGGCCAGGCTATAAATTAATGCCAAACCAGTGTTAAATTGACATATGCTTTTGCTTTAATGCAGATATACTGTTATGGTTGCTGGAGGATATGGCAGCTGATAAACATAAATCAGCAAGCAATGAATACTGAGGAACTAGCTGCACCCTCAGCATCTAGGCCAACTGTATGGATTTTTGTCAACCTTGAATATAATTTGTTACCTCTTCAACACCATGCATTGAAGAATGGAGGTAGGGCTGAGGGCTATAGAACAGCCTTCCTCAATCCAGTGCCCCCCACATGTTGAACTACAACTCCTACTGTTCCTAATTAGCACCAGGTTGGTGAAGTCTGCAGCAGCTGCAGAATCATAAGAACTGTAAAACCAGAGAGAGGTACATAAGATCTTTTTCATTCTGCCAAAGAATCTTCTAAACCATATCTGGGTTCCTCACTCATATCTGGTCAGCAAAATGCATCCTAGCAGTTTGGATAGCAATTACAAAGTAAATAAATTGATATGAAGAAAGAAACAGAGAGAGGAAGAATCTTGTGATTGATTGCTCAGTTTCCACTTCTCTGATAAAGTGGTGTTTAATGTTTATACATTGCTGCAGATTAAATTATGGGCTTTTGGTCCCACTGGATTCCTATTCTATGTTCTCAAGTATCTCATCATTACTTATGGGACAGTCGGGCCCACCAACTTGGCAACCAGGCTGGTGCTGGAGGTCAGACTAGATGGCCCGGGAGACCCCCTTCTGACTCACTCTGTTTCTATGTTTCTATATTGATCAAGCTTGCCATCCTCAACCACTGCACCCTAACTGCATCTGCCACTAAACTATTGGCATAGTCATTTTGTTTCATTTCAGAGAAAGCAGGATTAGCCAGAATTGTAGTGGTGATTACCTGTTCTAAATGCTGTTTAAAAATTGAGAGTCAGACTTGGGCACTTGCATAATTGCCTGTGTGCCCAAGTCTCTTCTAGGCATATGAGCACACAGCAATCTTTGGTCAGAATGACTTCCTCACACATAACAGTGGAGGTTGCCAATTGGTATTTGCTCTGGCTTCCTCTACTGAGATATATGCCCACAGCAGCAAAGTGAACAAGGTAGCACATGACGAATTCCACTAGTCTGCCTTGTTATGTGCATATGTTATGCACAAGGGCATACTCTGAACCTTCTCTGGCATCTTGGTTAACTCCCAGCAGGGGGAGTCTGCTGATGAGAATTTCAGATGCCAGAAGTATGTTTCTTAAACTCCATCCTGTTATGTGAACAAATAGCAGAACTGTAGATAAGTAAACTAACATAATTACTACAATCTAAGCTAGAGGGTCACAAACTACATCCTTACTTGTCAAGCAGTGGATGTGGGGAGAGTGAAGATGTTAGGGCCTTCCCATCTATAAGACAACACAATGTGTATTGTCCTGGCTGACAATTCTCACTCACTGCCTGGGTTGAGTATATTAAAGGAACAGGCACAGATCAGGACTGCATGGTGTCTTCCTGGTGTGTTTTCAGATGCTTTAAGGACACCAAGCAACAAAATGTCTTGAAAAAAGGATTCTTATTCTGCTAATATGCACTGTCAGTTCAACAAACATCTGTATGTTTCCTTCACTGTGGTCAATAGCAGCTGGTGGATGTGTGGTTTGCACTAAGAAATCAGCACAGGTGAGATTAATCAGGCCCTCCCATGATAGTATTTTGTTGTTTTTTTAAGATGTTCTCAGATCCAGTTTTGCTTATAGGACTTAGTTTGGCTTTCTGTGCCAGCAGTCACCAGTTCAAATGCAGGCTGGACTTGAGTCTTTACTAAAGACAGTTCTCTGTTTGAAGGGCAGTCTGATCCAAACCTAGTTTAAAGGTCAACTACCATAAGAAGGGACTACAGAGAGGCCTCAACCCTCAGTCCCCTGGACAACAGACTGAGCCTTGTATTTCTTGCATTGTATTTCTCTTTAAATTATAGCAATTACTTCTGACATTACATCTAAACATGTAAATTAGCTCATGAAATTATTTTCCAGGTCTGTTCCCTTGTTTTTTGGTGATACATTTCTTCCTTTATGACAATCTGTAAATGGCCATTGTGTTTAGCTCTCCATTTTCTACCACTCTCCAATGTCTATACTTCACAGGAAGATTTCCTTTAAAAAGTTTTGTTTTTACTTAGCAATTTCAAGGCTATGCTAAGATACATATTTGCCATTTCTTTTTAAAATGGAAAATGTATTCCTCTCTCCCACACTCCTCACTGTTACAGAAACAAAAATTTACCCCATCCCAGAGGCTGTTTGGGCATAGAAAAGTGGCCATCACACAGAAAGCACATCTGGAGTAACACTAAAGTAAGATAGGATCCATTGGCCAGGAACTGCAAGCCAAATTTAAATGACTTGCTGCTTTGAAAGAGCTGTAACCTAACTTAGTTGGAGATTACCTTTTTTAAATTGCAACTATTCAGTGCATATCAATTCCCTCCCCTCCACTACTTTTCCCTGGGAAATGCTTTCATTTTGCACTGGTTATTCTACCTGCCTCTCTGCTTCGGTGACCAAGGTGTTTATGGCCAGCCTCACACATGTGAAGGAAGTCGGTGCCTTTTAATATTTGGATTTGTGTTGTAGGCAGTCTGCCTTCTCCCAGCCTTGCTGTGTGTTTCCAGGGAGCCATTTCAAATAAATATCCACTCTGGGGTTCTCCCTAAATCAAACTTGGTTGGGAGGGAAGAAAGGTCATCCAGCTTGTTCCCCTGCTGCATGGATGTACAAAATGCCAATTTCAACTGTCTTGTAAAAAGATTACAGTCACTGTATAATTTAAAGAAACATATCGAAGCCAACTTGCCAGAGTGCCTTGAAGAACTAATCTCTATCTAGTCAATGTAATTGGGACCTATATGTAAGCAGGCATCCCAAAAAAATTAAAGCCACAAAAACTATGATGCAATGCATGAATGGCTGTTTTAAGGTATGTCAGCACTTAGCTTGGCTTTCCAGGGGTAACTACTTCAGAATTATTCTATGATAGTCTGTACCTCCTAGTCTCTCCAGTGATTAATTTCAAGGGCTGAAGTCTCATTCGGAAGTCATGTACTCTGCCCTAGAAGCCCTTCTCCCCCATATTGCTAGATGGACAGATTCTTAGAGCATATTTGGAGCATGCTCAGTCACACTCCCCTTTTTGTTATTATTTCACACCTTCTGAGGAGTTGGATTATTTTCAGCCAGAGGGCCAAATATCATTTCAGAGTAGCTTTCGGGGAGACTGCTTTCTGGTGGGGAGCAGGGCCAAAGGCAAAAGGCTGGGGTCAAAATATCAGCATGTTCTGTTTTAAAGCTCTTACTACCAATAACTAAGCCACTGCCTTCGCAGTTTCTGTGCTTCACACATATGCACTCTGCACCTATGTGAAGCCTATTGCTGGGAGAATTATAGCTGAGAGTTTTGGCAGCAACCTTTCCCTCATCTATTCCTTACCAGCCACATGTCACCTGGTTACTGCCTTCTGCATAACGGTGAGATACACTGTATTGCTCTTTAAATTACAATTTCTACTTTTGTGCCTCTGTATAAATTAGGATGTGCCCATGTTTTGCAAAACTGTATCATATGCTATAATTGTTTTATGGTGACCTGTTTTCTCTTTTTTGGTGATTTCCAAGTGGCCAGAGAACTCAAGTATGCATGATCCTTTGTGGGCATGACTTTTGAGTTTTCAAATGAATTTGTTCAGAATCTGCCTACTGGTACTGTACCAGGTTTTCAAAAATGGTTGTAAGGAGAGAAGCCATGGGAAACTAAAGAGAACAAAGCTGAATTGGTAAGTGTATGGGGAATGGGAATAAAATCAATGGCAACATACACATATTTTTTTAAAGCATAGAAGAAGTGCTAAAGGACCAAAGATGGAAGTACTCCAAGAATGCATGGATTGTGTGCTACATACAGAGAACCGTCTTGGTAGCAGTTCCAAGGCTCCCCCCCCCCCGCCCCATTTTGGATAGACACAGTCTTTCTCTCTGCCCTCCTTGTATCATAGTGCCCACTCTCAATCACCTCTGATGTATCAGCCTTGGACAAACTAATTGTTGGCCATTTTTATGACCGCACCCAAACAAATGCTTCTGGCAACAAGTCTTTTGCCATTGTTCAGGGCTCGATAGCTCACTGAAAGCATCTATCTGGAATTGGTCTACAATCACTGACTTCTTTCCCATATTACAAAGTTTTGGGGGCAAGTTTATAAAGGTCTAGAGGTAAAACTTTTTGTACTACTTCAGACTTGATACTTCAGGTTGTGCATTTGTGGAAACTGCTTGAAGGATATGAAAACTCCTTGTACATAGACATAGATGGCAAAGAAAGGTTTGGTGTAGCATTCTCTGTGACATACTATTTACAAGAATTTGCAGATTATGTTTCCTTTGTTTTTTAATGGAATAATATT